GGGGGGGGGGGGGGGGGGGGGGGGGGGGGGGAAAACCCAGGCCGCAACGAGTCCGGTTTGGATTAGGAAACTCCAGTGCGGTGTCGGCTGGGTGGGGGCCCGCAAAGCTATCGGGAACGGATGCAGGAAATCCAGAGATAGTTCCATCCGGCTTCCTTTTCGATGGCTTCCAGCGACGCGTGGCCATTCGCAGTAGATTCCGATAACGAGGAAGCGACGGAATATGTCATCAATTAGCCACGGACCCAATAGTTCTGCGACCGGGCTGAATAGAATGATGTGATAGGGGCTTGAAATGGGCATTCAACCATCATCTGCAGCACGGATCATTGTCTCTGCATAACGGATCATCGCGTCGATGGATTTACGACGGGTTTCTAGGCATACTTATCTAGAAATGTCATGAAGAACGGAGTCTGTTCAAGATTCTGGACGCTCCCTCGTTCATTAAATATTCTACCTTTTCATTCGTTATATAAAATGGACGCAAAAAAGCCACGTTACGTTCGTAAGGAGATCTAATAATCCGGGACGCCATCGATGGCGGGTGCGAGCTGATCAAGGCTTCAAAGCCTCTTGCGCAACAAAATGGCTCGTTACTGGAATGACCAATGCCACTTCATGCGATGGGGGGAATCCCCAACCCCATAACTTGCGGCTTTCCTCGTCCCGTTCTCTGTGACCTTGGGCAGGGCTTCCAGGAACTGTCTCCCATTGTCTCCTTAACCATTAGCGTGCATAATGGCGTGGTAGCCTTCGTCGTCCAATCTCTGTCTGGCTTAACTCCAGCGCCGAAACCAGCAATATTCAATATTACTCGCGAAAAAAGCACTTACCGATCACGCGTATCTTCCGCCAGACTGACACGGCTATTAAGAAGGAAATGATAGTTGCTTGTTAGGCTTCTCCTGTTTGAAATTCGCGTCCATGGTTTACCCAAAGCGACCATTCGCACGACTAAATTGATTGTAATCTAGAAAATTACCATTAATGGTATAGTAAAGAGAGTCAAATTGAAGCCATTACGAGCGAAAGGGTTGATTACATGCTTGCAATCGCAGAAAAGGGAGTATCAGCCCTTTCCCAAAGGGTATTCAAATGGATGGGGAAAACTGCTCATTTACGAAACAAAAAAAGAACAACTTCCGTGTAAGCTCATGAAATTCCTGGACTTCAGTTGTGGAGGAGTTCCCCGGAATCTACAGGATAATTTGTATTCATACACGAAGGACTAGCTTAAGCCTATCGCGCAGATGATTTTGCATCTCCCACTGCGCTCAGCACGATTTCATCTCCTTGGTATTCACAAGCAATCGTTCTCTCAAGGTCATGTTCATCATCATGGTCAGACAACGGACGCAGAATGACTTGTCGATTCTTGATGAAAAAAGAAAAAAAACTTTATTAGAGGACACCTTGCTAGGTGAACACACCCCTACACAAGGGCAAAATTAAGTTCAAGAAATCGCAGTGAATGGGATCTGACTTGGTCCCATCGTTCGCCTTCGTATCTGCCCAATGTAGAAGCCATTGTAATCCAGCCTGTAAAAGAGAGAAGAAAGAGAAAGTTTTCATTGAAGGATAGAGCTCTCTCCTTCGAACGGAAATTCACAGAATAGACTGACATTTTGATAACAAATTCTCATACTCAAACCCTTGCTGCATTAGTCAAAGCAGCGAGAAAGGTGCTTCCTACATTATTTCCCAAAGCAAACGTTCGAAAGGGAATTTTAGATATGCTAAGTTGGCTCAGCAATTTTGGCGGTAACTGGGCTGAATATCAGCCGAATCAGCAAGCAGAATTTCATGGCTCATGGATCTCATTTTGTCCTTTGGAAAGAATCTAAAAAAGAAACGAGCTGGTTTATGTGGTAAACATTATTTCTGGATTAGTAAATTAAGATGTATGTGGCACTACTCCAAATTAAATACTGCTTTTCTCAAAGTGATGAATAGTGAGTTAGAATTATGCTTTGCACTTTGGACTAACCACTTCCCCTGTACACTTGACTCAACGAACAGAAATATGTAATGACTGAAGACTGACCTGAAGAGAAGACTTGCTACATTCTCCGACTGTCGTCCCCTTTCTACTACCACAATCTTCTCCAGCAATCCAAGGAGAAGTCCGGAGAACTTCAGGTCAAATCGATGCACATTTTCTTCGAAACTCTCTCCTTCTGAACCACTGTCCATTTCCCCTTCTCCCTCCTCCTTCCAGCATAAAACAACAATTTAATGTAGAATTATGCCCAGTCCAGAATACTCTCTAAGCTTCACTGTAACAGTTGACCCTTTGCATGGTACCATCTCTATTTGGAGACACATTTTGAATTGGAAGAATGCATGCCTTTGAAAGCATTTAATAAGCATGATCAGACAAGATTTGATGAAGGACCCAATTGACTTGAACTACCATACAACAGACAAGGAAATAGCGAAGAGCTTCAGTTGAAGCAAGTTCTGGCTTGAGTTCAGTGTTTCTGAGATTATTCCCATATGAATTTGCAATGGAAAGGGTTAAATAAGACTGAGCTGATGGCTTGATAAAGATTACTTTACTGTGGGACTGATCAATTGGGGTCTAGTTTCTTCCACACCCAAAGATAAATAAGCTTGAAAGGACAAAATCTTTTGTTTAGATTTTGTCCCCACCATCAGTGGTGCTTAAGTGTTGGAAAAAGTTCAAAACTTTCTGATACTTGTAGCTAGGGGGAATCTAACCTTTCCCTCAAGTAATAGATATAGACACCAATGATGACCTTTTCTTTCTTAAAATGAGGAATCTGATGACCTCTTGTTGCAATGCTAATATAAGGTGATTATAAAGACTATCTGTTTTGATGTATAGAGCTAATACTTATTTTTATAACAGGTTCACCTGATGCAACAATTGATTAAAAGAGGAAACGTGGAAGGATACTAGAAAAAAATACCACATTGACTCCACTAGAGGATAGTAGTCAAACTTTATCTGTGTGGAATGAAGTACAAAGAGGTGCAAAATGCCTTTCAACAGAAGTTTTATGAACCTGGTCCAACAGATGTCAACAAGTTTCAACAGACTGGAACCATTGCAGATAAAAAACGGTTGATGGAGGAAATTTGCACTAAGGATGATGCTCGTCATATAGACTCCTTTCTATTGACTGTCAATTGCATCCAGGGTTTCACTTGGATGTCCAGAGCATTTTTGATATGCAATGGTCTCAATCCTTTGGAACTTGTTGACAAGTAGATGGATATTGTCATCTGTTGAGCCAGGTTCATAAAACATCAGTTGAAAGGCATTTTGTACCTCATCGTACTTCATTCCACACAGATGAAGTTTGACTACTTCTATCCTCTTTGGCAGGGTTAGCATGGTGTTTTTTCTAGTATCCCTCCACTTTTCCCTTTTTAATCAGTGGCTGCATTGGGTGAACCTGTAATAGAAACAAATATTAGCACTATACATAAAAATAGATCAAGACTTTATATCACCCTGTGTATTAAAGAAATAATGACCTTTCTCTCCCACTCCCTAAAAAAATTCAAACCTTTTGCATGACTCCAGAAATTCAAAACATCAATCCTAAAAAACTGAAAACTGTAAATGAATGCTAACAACTGAAAGTGATCTCAATCATAGGTCCTGGTGAAGAATGACAGTAATAATCACAAACTATTACTCTGAACTGCACATGGAAGCAACATCTCACTCTCCTAAGTCAGGCACTAAGCAAGACATTCTTGACCTATGACATAGATTAGTAACTACAAATTTGGGAGGAAGATCTGAAGGTTTTTTTTTGGATTTGAATGAAAAAAAAAGAAAAAAGGAAAGTGGAAGACAACAGTCATCTGTGACAGTATTGGTCTGATAATTGGTATCCACATATCATTACAACTATTGATTTATTTTTATATCTGTCAATCATGGATATAATGAAACATGATTAAAGTTGCAATGATAATATTTTAATGGATATTGACATAAGCTTAACTTGATACAAAACAGTGGCATACCTATCATCAGATTGAATTTGCACTTCCCCCTCCCAATAGGAATACTTCCATCCAGCAGGCAGTGATATTTTTCAGATGGGGGGTCATATGTAGTATCTGATGAAGTGAATCCTTTGGAAATAGTACTTTCTCCTTTCTCCTTTACCCAGAGTGGGTACAAATTCATTTAATTAAACAGTGCATGGTGAGTTACCAATGTCTTGCATAGCCTTCTGTAATTTCACTGCAATCTAAACCACATATGGCAGTTTACTACCATTGGTGAGAGTCCCCTCTCTTGATATACTATTGAAAACCATGAAATCCTATTTGTTAGTATATTTGTCATCAGTTTGTATCTATGCTGATATTTGCTTTGCCAAAAGATCTTGATTCAAAAATGGAATATTTGGGGTTTTCTTCCAGTGGTGACTCAAAGTGTCACTGAGTTCAATGTAACCTATAATTGTCCTTTTAGGAGTCAGAGAGATAGGGTGCTAAAATATACAGATTTTATGAAAAAAAGAGATGGAATTTTCAGTTTTCAACCATTTTACTGTGAGGCTGAAAGGAAAAGTGGTCTATCTGCAACAAAATGTCAAAAAGAAGTTTGTTTAGTGCTCATAGAACCATTTTCCTTTCATTGAAAATGGAAGTATTTGAGAAGTATGTTAAAGATAAACTGGTCTAGCTATGCATATCACTTTTCCTTACTTGTTTGAATTTGGACACTGGAATATTCTCTCTTTCCATGTGGAGGTTGAGGAAAGCATTATTTGCAGATAAACCACTTTTCCATTCAGCCCTTTAATTCACACATCAAAACCATGTTTCTGGAAATGATTTTCTACAACTGCTGTGCCAATAATGGAGCTATCTTTTTCCAACAAGAGGTCAGGAGAAATTTACTAAGCTGGTGGTATTCAAACTTTGATAAGTGGAGGGGCAGAGGGTACACTTGAATCATTTGTACTACTTTAAATATTTATTCAACTCAAGTTTCTGTTGCCCCACCTCCAGAAGGATATGCCCCAGATATTGAAAACTGTTGCAAGAACCCATTTTTGATTCGATAATGAGACACTCCAAAAGGACCTTTTTTCAAACCAATCAAAAATGGGTGTGTTATGGACTCCTAGCAAAAGATGATTGCTGCAGGCAATAATTAGGAAGAGGATGCTTAGCAATTAGTTACAAGACTAAGATTTGTCCCCTCAAGGCTTGGAATACAAAAATTAATGGGATACATGAAGATGTATTTCATTCATGTTTTGCTTATGCAGCAATGAGTTTTAAAAGAACCTTGACAAATAAATATTCCCATTTATATCCTCCAAGATGTCCCATGTTTTTTATTTGTGTACACAGAGGTTATAGTTACTTGAAAAGGTTTTTTTCTTTTAAATAAACCAACACAGTACTAGCTTAGTGTTTACAGGCCATTGTTTTGAAGTTTAGTAAGCAAGGAATAAGATGTCCAAGTAAGGATCATTCTTTGGATGTGATGTATTTCAGAGCTTTTTGTAATATGCAAGGAGGGGAAAAAAGAAGACTATCAAAAGTTTATCATGGAACTTCATGATGAGCAAAAAATGGAATACTTGGATCCCTCATGAATTCTATCAAGTACTATATTTCAAGTGCTTGCATATCCAGCATTATTTGCTATAGTATAAAAAATAAAACTGCCCTTCTTTCCTCTCACTTCTTCATTGCAATCAGTCCTAAAACAGCTTCTTGGTTTATAACTTTCCTTTCTTGCTGAGTGCACTGAATTAACTGATTAAAATTTAGTTGTGTGATTACAAATTTTCTAAGGGTAATACAAATGATCAAAATGAAATAATCAAATAAGGAAAGTGGTTGGCCCCAGTCACATACCCTGCTGGTAAAAAAATGATAATAAATTCCACTGTCCTGTGAACTTCATTGATAATTTGATTACATGCACCTTATACCTATGAAAGTCTGACAAACATTAATTTGGTATTCACATCCTTTTGAGGCCACAAATTCCTCATTAGGTTAATTAATTTGATAATGACTATTCTGTAATGCTTTACATAGAATCATTGAGCACCTTAAATATCTTTTTAATTTAAAAATAATGAAATGCTCAAGAACTTTCACTCTATCAGTCATATTTATATAGAGTGAAAGTTCTTGAGTTAGGCATCAACCAGTCACATTTCTGAGTTCATGACCCGACTTTCCCAAATACTTCAACCCATCACAAGCTACCAAACTATACTTTCTTTCTGCATCTAAGCATTTCTACTAACTAGTCTAAGGGATGGAATGAATTATAAGTATATATAGTAGCCTCAGACTACATCTAGGACCCAGAGCAAGCTCCATTCATTCATGAGAGGCCTTGTTATGGATTAGTACAAATATGTTCATGCAATTCAGAATATGTGATCATGCATGAAGTTAGGAAATCAAGGAAAAAAGTGCTCAGAAAGAAAAGACTTAAAAACTCACATCTGATGCATTCAGGGCACAAGTAGATGATGATATGTCAGTTTCCAAGTGCCCAAGTTCAGCATCAATTGATAGACCATACATATGCTGGACCACCAACCAACACACCAACCATATTTAAAACCAGTTACAAACAGAAGTGCACTTTGCCTCATTGCTATAACAGTTGCAAAGAACCTCATTCTTCTGTAGTTGTGACTGTTACCAAGATTCATGCTCTATCAAGAATTCATTCTTAGCTGGAAAAAACCTGCAACTGATAGTGAAATCAGAGATGAAAGTGATACCTATGACCAAAGTTCATAATGCTTGCAGCATTATGTCATGAGTAGGCAAGCAAACAGAATTCATGCAAGCAGTCATGCTAAAACCCCAAAGTTTTCCCCATAAATCCCATGGGCTAATTTTTAAAAGTAACCTTCCAGAAAAGGGAAGCACTCACTAGAAGCTTGAAAAGCAACTAGGAAAAGACCTCTGATTACAGCCTTGTGGAATCATGGGTAGAGTTCTTCACCATCAGCACTTCACACTTGTCAGTTGAAGGCTAATCTTGCCTCACATTCAGTAAGGCAATCCCCTTGAACAAATGATATCTGAATACTATTAGGAAAGAAGATAGCTCCTTTAAGAGAAGTGATCTCAATTCATTAGCATGGAAATACCAAAAGGTGAAGCAGAATACTGAAAATCAGCCTCGCTTGGGTCACCAAACATTGACTGCAATGCTGAAGACCTCAGATCACCATGCAGGACTGAAGCTGCTGTGTATACAAATCTATTGCCACAAGAGGACAATGTGAGTGGCAACATTAGGGAGAGATAAGGAATGGAACAAAAAGGCTCATTCCTTTATCATCAAAGGCATAGCTAATCCCTGTGTGGTCCTTGCTTTATGCTGGACAAACTTCATTAGTGGGGGTCTTCCTCTACTCTTACTCCTAGTTTTATAACTCTGCTTGAAATTAAAAATAAAACAGAAAAAAAAAGACTTGGGATTTATGGGAAATACTTCATCAAGAAAATAATTTGAGAAGCAAAGAATTGAAAATATATATAGGAATTGATCTGAAGCCAAAATCAGCCATCATTACAAATAATTCAGCTTCAAGATCACAATAAAATGTCAGGCAAGTATTTCATGATTAGTCTGGCGCCATGAGCCCCAATATTATTTGAGCTCTGCTCAAATAATTTTGAACTCCAAAGATATCTGGAGTGTTTCTGTCTCCATGCCCTCCTTTCCCTCAGTGTAACATCAACAGGGTCCAGAAATTCATAAAAAATGTTTAAAAGGTATGTTTGCAAGAAAAGACTACCACAAAGACTACAAGAACACCACACCCTGAATTCCTGATTAAATGTGGTATAGTGAATATCAACTTTGTGAGAGCATGTAATTACCATTAATATATCCATCATGGCTTCCTTTGCAAGAAACAGAAAAAACTTGATCCATCCATTGATATTGTAAAAATGAGTATAAAGCAAACTTAGGGTGAGGACTCACCTTAACAAACATTGCAAAATTAAGGCATGTCTTGAGGAGCTGATTTATGGTATGAAGAAGATCTGGTGATGTGAGCATGCAATCCTTGAGACATGTTGTCAGGAAGTCCATGTGATGCTTTAAGACATCATCTATGTTGTCCACCTATGCAAAAAAAACTTGAAAGCATGACCCTAGATGCTAGTAACAACAATTTTTTGAAAAGGATTTGAAAGTCTGACTCACAGACTCCATCTTGTCCAAGAAATTGTGCCAAGAGGGTTCAAGAACTTCCAACATTATGAAATACTCCATGGTTTGAATGAAACGAAGCATCTTGTGCCTCAAAGCAAAAGTGCTGGTATAAGATTGAGCTGCACGTGAAGCAAAATGCCGAGTCTGTTTCTGCAAAGTCCACACCCTGGGAAAGAGGGCAAAGTTCGTGCTGATTATGTCATTCTCTTTTTTTTTCTCTAACGTTACATAAGTAGTTGGTCAAGAGAGAACTCACCGTAACAACAAGTTCTCAATATGTTTGAGATAGAAAAGATGGCGAAAGATCATCTGGTAACAGGCCAGAGCCTTGACATTGATGACAAGAGACACTGGCCATTGCACCCGATAGTCAAAAGAAAAGGCTTCCCATCCGGTCAAGGCCATGTTCTTCTCCAGATGCCAGTCTGGCAAGAGCCCATCAGAAATAATCAATCCAATTATATCCATATGAAATTCCCCTTCATAATAATGGAATGGAGAGAAGTCCCATACCTTTTCTCCCCTGAGCATCAATACAGACTATTCTCAGCATAAGACTTTCTAGATCACATGTGAAAAGCTTCAGCTTCACATCATCCTTGTAATGGTCAGCAGTAGCAGAGAAAGACCGAAGAGCCATCTCTAAGAGACACTGAAGTCGGGTTACATCAATGTCTGAGATTTTTTCCTGTAGCTCCAAATGGGCCAGATCCATGAATTGGGCAATGAAGTCTCCTTGATCCAAGAGGAAATAATGCTTCACTGATCTAAGGAGGAAAGTGAAATTTGCTGAACATTCTGACAAGAAGGGACATTCAAACCCCAGTCATCAAGTATCCCTTCAGGGATTCACAGTCATAGCACCATTTGAATGCATTCACATCTTTTCCCCCACCCATAACCTCACATTTTCATGAATTGTTTGTCCATTTCCCAACATTCATATTCTTCATGAATTATATATATGCAGGTGAAAAGGACTCAGGAAGGGAATGCAACAGTTAGCCATAACTGACATAACTCTGTAACATAGTTAATATGCTTAGGCTAATGCAATTCTGCAGACTTAAGAGAATAAGATTACCATTACGGTTATTTCTAGATTAGTACAATACTTTTCCAATGTTACTACTAAGGAGCAAATGAGAATCTACATCTTTTTAACAGGCAGAAGATGTGACAGTTCCTTACCGAAGTCTTCCCATAAGATCCTTCTCCTTCAAGAGAAGCTGAAGAAGGGTTTTGCTGGCAAAATTGTATGCATTCATAATGCTTGTCTTCAAACGTGTAGCCTCAAGATCATAAGTCAACTCCTCTGCTTTAGGGTACTTGATCCCATCACCTAGTCAACATTTTTTGTAAGAAAGGAAAAGTATGTAGCAATAAGAGAAGGAAATAAGTGGGTGGCACTTACCACACTGCTGGATAACATTCAGATACTTTCCACTTCGCAGAATCTTGTCAGAAATGTCCTTTAAGAAGCTTGGTACACGATCTCTACAAACAGTGTAGCGCTTTCCCCAGTAGTCGTCACTATACTCACTCTCAGCATCTCCAGTCAGTTCATTTCTCTTTCGAATTTCATTGTCTTCTATCAGAAACTCAGCATATGGGTCATCAATGACTCCTTTGTATATCCACTTCTCGAGCATTTGCATATAAGGAACAGCAGCAGCCTTGGCCAAATATAGGAGCTCTTTGGCAGCTCGTTGACCAGAGGTTAAAGAGGCCCTTTCATGGAGATATGACAACACACCTGCCCCTCGAGATTTTGCCTATGAGATGTCATCATGAAGGATATGTGTTTAAAAAGAATAGGTGCACCAGTGCCTACCACTGATATCTATAAAAAATTCTTCTGAAAATGCAAATTGGAGACAAACCTGGTTTATGGAATTAGCAACAGATGCCAAATTCTCCATGGTCTCCATGACAGGATGAACATGATAAAATAAACTCTGCAATGTCAAACCCCCTCCAGAAGAAAGGGATTGAGTTTCCAACTGTGTGATCAACAGCTGAGGACAGCAAAGAGAGTGCATGCTCAATTTGCAGCTTGCTGGGAGAATACAGACAAAGAGAGACGGAGATGTGGTACCGTGTACTCCTTAAGGAGTTCTTTCATAGCAGCTGCAACAGCATGATTAACAAGTCCCTGCTCACACAAAGACTTTTCATGTACAAACCGGGAAACCAGTGAGTAGTTGGAACACAGGGGTAAAATCTGTTTCACTGTCTCTCGAAGATGAGGCTCTGATAATGGATCATTTAGACAAATAAACCAGAAGTCAGTGGAACATGGAGCATATATGAGCAGGATGCCATACCAACAGAGCTGTCGATAAGAAACTCCCTGGGTGCATGGCGATTCACAACAGGCTGAGGATGAATGAATTCTCCTTCAACCCCCATCATGACATATAGCAGATCTGTGACTAGAGCTGTCTTTTGAGATTCTTCAGGCAAATTTCCTGGAGGACATGAATTCAACAAACAGGTCGAACTTGAATGCTGCATTCACACTGATGACAAGGTTCTGCATGATGATTAGGGAATGGATTTTTATGCAAATGCATATTTTTTATGCAGCCTCCTATGAACATGCAACCCAGATAGGATCATGTCTCATTGATAGAGGAAGCCATTTATGCAATTTAAAAAATGCATATTTTTATGTTTTTCTCAGCATTTGCATATTTCTGTATATCTGTGCATATTTATGCATATTTCACCCATTTTTATGGGAAAAATAAGGGTTTTCCAGGAAAATGTGCTTTCTTTATGAGCTACAGAGGAAAATTCTCATGCATTTATGAAGTTTGACCAGAAACATAGCGAAGGGGGGGGGGGGGGGGGTGAGGCCCCTGAACTCAGCTCTAGATTCATTCCTCCACCCCTCCCGAGAATAGGAAATTCTAGTGCGCGTTCGTTTCCATTGGTGAATTCCTTGCCTCTCCACTGGCTGCGACAAGAATAGAACTATACCCAGTTGAGGCATGTAATGTACATTAAAGTTCTTTCTTCCGGAAAATTCATTCTGCATGCTAAAAAACCATGTTTTCACATTTTCTCTTATTCATGCATATTTTATGCATATTTTGGCACTTTTAAGTGCATATTTATGTGCATATTTCAGGACTTATTAGCGTATAAAAATCTGCTCCCTAATGATGATACACCTTCCTATTTAGCAACTGACATACTTGGCTTTTCCAAACCAAGTGTATATTATACAAAACTGAAGAAAATATTTTTTTGCTTTTTTAACTAAAACATATTGAGCAAATGTCAAATAGCAACCAACATCATATTTCTTCAGCAAAAATCTTAGAAGTCCAGTAGAGTGCTAAGCAGTTAAACAGGTGACCATCCTTCTAATAAATTATACTTACATTCAACAGTTGACTCTTTGCCAACAACTATATCCACTTTTTCTGTCAAGTCCTTCACCACCAATTTTTTTCAATTCAGGCTAACAAGAATTAATGGTAGAAAAGAGATGACTATTAACAGGAAGGAGAGGAGAAGAAAGAGTGGAGACTGGAGAGAAGGCAGAGAAGAGTAAAGAACTTTGGTCCCTCCTTGAAGGTCTCTCATCCATAATACACTATCAATTGAAGTGGATATTTTGTATTTTTTGTTGTATTAGAAGAATTCTTCTGTTTCTGCTATTAAAATGAGTAAAAACAGAAATGTTCTTAATTTATAATTCTGTAGAACTGCAAATATTAAGTTGAAATGAATTGTCTCCCATTTACTTCACAAAAAACACATCCAAGTTATTTTTAAACAAAAAAAAATAAAACATCCACTTCAATTGACACACATTGTACAGGGTGGTGGAAAAGTCACACACCATAGGGATAATTAGAGTAAATGTTCGAATTGTTTGCCATTAACTTGAAAACACTTCGATTCATTGTACACATAACCTTTGAACATATCTTAACTCCACCCTCTCATCTTTTGTTAATTTTGCTGCCATCAGGTACTTGCAAATGAAGAAACAAGAATTAATATAGTGAAACAGTGAAATCCTCTTTGGTGCATGACTTTTGCACCACCCTGTATATTAATTAGACAGAGAGACCCAACTCTAGGGCTTAGTAACCTTCAGCTCCAGGAATATAAACTCACCCAGAGGACCAGAAACAGGTGAAATATCAGGATTAAGAACATAGTCTTGACTCTGGTATTGTCTCTCATGTATCCAAATTGGGTCAATGGAGAAGGATGATGGCTGACTAGAAGTCCCTTCCAAGACTGCATCAGATATTGTTGCAGGAGGGACATAATTGTCTGCCTGCTCTTGAAGCATCTTTCGCACCTGTTGGGCATACAAAAATAAAAATGTAAGCACAAAATAGGTCAAATACCACTGAAGGGCAATGTAGAGGATAAAAATACACCTGTGACACATTCTCTAAAGATATCCCACTGGCACCACTTGCAATGATACTTTGGGAATTCCCAGAGGATATGGCAGAATCTACACATGAAGGAGATGATATATGGGCCATGCAATGTTGTTCCAATGCATCTTTCAACTCCTTGTTCTTGGCAATGCGTGACAGGACTGCGACCATAGGATCAAGGTTCTTTGCACTAAGACCCAGACCATACACAAATAATATAATTCCAAATATAAACAGGACCAACATTCCATTTAACATAACATTATTATTATGGCTTATGCTAAATTGCTGGGGACTAATTGAAATGAGGTGTATTGAGTAAGCGGTGTGGTACTGAATGGATGTAGAAAGTGAAATAAATCTATAATTTTCTTGGAAGACTTTACAACCAAAATTAATCCCCATTTTGGGATCATAGCCTGAAAAAAAAAGCAATAATGGGTTAAATTGTATAGACTCTTAGACTTTGTTACACTTTATAATGTAATGGGCATGTAACAACCCCTAGATAACATGCTGAAATTGAAAGAGCTAATTCCACTTTTGCAGTCTACCTTGACTTGTTTTATTCCTTAGTTTACTTATTTCTAGAAGACTGACTTCCTTGTCTTGAGACTCTCATATGTCTTCTGGATCTGGGATTTGTCACCACCTGCTAATTCAGCAGATTCTTGCAGGTTTTTCAGACATTCATGGATAGAGAATGAGAGAGGTGAGAAAGGGGAGCTTCCTTTTATGATGGACTCAAACTTTTCTTCCCCCAATGTTTCATCAGCATTCCTGGAACAAGAGGGAACAAAAAATTGAGGATATACAGAATATGGAAACCAATTCATGATATCTACATCATTGTATGCCTGTATTGAAGAGGCCAAGGCTTGTGTTAGTAGCCAACTGCTAATTTTTAAAAATACTTTCAAGGTGAGACTAGATTCAATAGTAATGAATACAGAACAGGCATTCACTTTCACATAAATGCAAATGCTTTCTGACTAGCAGTTTATTTTTGTGGATACCTGTAGGAGCTTTTGTGCAAAGTATGATAGCATACACAAAAGCACCAAAAATCAATATTGCTGGTAATATATAAGCCATTATCACATTCATATGAAAGCCACATATAACATATGTAAAATGACTAGGGACATCATCCAAACCAAAACAATTACCCTCTGGTTCTCATATAAATGAGAATTCATGCAAGTAAAAGGGAAAATTTTGCAATGAGAGATTTGCTAAAAAGAAGTTTGAAGCCACTATTGTCACATTTGTTCAAAGTTATAGAATCGTCACTGCAGTTAATTGAAGATAAAGAACTTCAGCTTCATCATGTATTGTCCATATTGGGATATGACAGCTCTATGAAAAGGCATTCAGCATGAGGGAATGGTTAATTTTGTCACCCCCCCCCACTCCCCTCCCCTTTCCCAACCATCAGTCTCCTGTCACCACTGCTCGCACATATTTATTTAGCCTACCTTTCTCCCCATTTATTTCAATATCAGGATCAGGGGTTGGGTGGGTTTTGACATGAACCAATATGCATTCCATACTCATATAAATGAGAGTCTCCATATGCCAAGACAAGGATAGTGTTGCCAGAGGCACATTTTTCTGATGACCCAGGCTTAGAAATGCTCACTTCTCCCACCATCCACTCTTCTATGAGCAGCATCTGTAGCAGCACCATTTCAAAGATTCAACTGTTAATCTGCATCTGACAATTACATTTCTAAGAATTCACATGGAGTTCTGAAATGAATGACTTGGCACCACTGAATGCTCTAAGGGAAATGTCTTTTTGTCTTCAAGCCAATCACATTCAGTATGTTATGACTGACAAAAGGGGCACAAAGCCTGTGTATTTTCAGATGATGATTGTCATGCAATAAGCATCAGTGGAAGTCAGTGACAGAATAGTCACAAGGATAAAGGATGTCCCAAAAAAGAAGCTAAGAATTTTAATTTTAATGTCATGATTTTAGTTCCATCAGCTGTTTGATGATATTTTCTAAACAGAAATATTCATTCACATGGCATTCAGTGCAAAAAAAATACATACACATTGTATATTGATCATTTAAATCAAAGAAACACATTAATATTAGGCTGGTTTTAAAATCAAGGTGCACAAACTGCTTTCTCTTTCACTGTTCCTTCCTTCTTGAAACAAATCAAATTCTACTTTTAATCCTCTTTACTTATACTCTGACTTTCCGAATTCACATTGGAATTGCCCTAGGCCCAAGTGATAAAATGATAAGATCTTGTTATAAACCTGACTACTGGAGTCACAGTTCCTTGTGAATAAAACATAGGCCAGGTTACCTTTTGTATAGTCATTGCTAAGTTCTCCTCAAGCAGTCATGTATATTAGTACCTTTTAAAGGGCTCCATGCCCCCAATCAGTCAAAAAAATTCATTGATTCATTCAAATTTATTAGTTAAAGGCTGGAAGTTGAACACTTACCCAAACGTAGATAGAAGTTGGTGTAAAAGATGATACGCTTCGTATTCGCTCATCTTGACACATTTATAACTAGGCAGATCCAGGAGAGTTTCAGCCCTGGCTACGACTTCGACTTCAACTAACTCATAGATCCAGGTCTACCAGATCAGTTGATCACGCGGTTCCCTGTACGCTGCCATATCCTTCCCACAACTTGGGACAGTTTCGATTCAGGAATGCTCTCTTCCGGTATTAAGCAAAGCAATTTTTTCCTGCGTATCACTCATGAAGCATACACCCAATATAATAAAAAAGCATCCTATAAAATCACTGTAAGAGGCCTAATTATTTAAAAATCAGATGCAACTTCTATTGACTGGATATAAAGTAACATGTCTGAGTGATCGTTGGAAGTTCGCTTGATGAGGTCACGATGACGAAGGCCCATTCAGTCGTCGACATGGCGCCGTACGAGTGTGTGACAAGACCTTTGTCCTGCGCTTCGTATACTATCTTCAGGTTGATCCGCTATATTAAAGCTTAGTTGGTACATCTCTTCATAATTTATTTTCTTATTAATCAGTCCATGATTACAGGCGCTCTAGAGGCACGGACTCTTGCTTACTACGGTCTTTCAAACACAGGCTAAGCCTTGTCTAGCCCATCGTAGCCACATCCCTATTGCACGCAACCGACAAATATGGCTGAGCTCAAAGGTCTTGCAACCAAGAATATAGCCCAACAGAAAACAAAACCCATGAGACATGCAAGTAATCAAGGTGTTTCTGACAATATCAAGTGCAATATGCCAATTAATAAAGCTGAAAAATCGCATTAAAAATTAATCGTTCACCCTATCATTCAGATAATATAACATTATTCGTATTTGATCAATTGATAACTTTTGGTTGACCATCTCTCCAATATTCCAAACTCTTTTTTTTTGCATCATGTTTTAAACTGTTATGTAGTTTTTATTTCAAGAATACTTGTTCAGGGACTTCCCAAAACTGTGATGATCAATTCTAAAGTTAAGCCAAAAAAAGAACAGACTTACAACTCATCTAGGATTTTATTGTAGTACATTTTTTATTTCATGTTATTTCAATGCAAGGGCTACTTAAGACCCTTGAGGGTTTTCAGGAAAAATCTATATTAATGGACAATTGACTGTTATGGTACTAGGTTTTCCATAGTCATGATCGCTGGGATTAAAAGTTCTGCTGTATATGTACAGCTATGGTACTGAATGGGTTAAATTTATTGTTGGATTTGTTAAGAAGAATCTGAACTTGAAATTATCACAGGGTGAGAAATTACCTGAGGCCTAGGGGAAGTAAATATGGTCCCCATTTGAAACCAAATTCATGTCTTGGCAGCTTTAAACTTTTACCTAACACAATCCTCCAAGTAAGCCTGTCACCTGTCTCATATTTAATGAAATTTATCAACAGCATTTCTTCAGGACTGTATGGACAGGTGGTAATTACTGCTCAAAGAGATCATTTTTATTCAGCCAATGCTTTTCAAAGTCACTGTTTGAATCCCTCGCCAAAGCTACTTCATAATTTCTTTCTCATTTCACATTCTCTTCTAACATGCTCCACTGCTTGTGCAAGTGTAGGGTAGGGTGGGGCTATTCATTCACGATTTTTAGGTTTTCTTACTCCAATTATTAATTATTAATCCAGAGAAACCCTTGAAACCTCAACTGGTCATGTCATTCAACTATATATTCTGCCCAAGAACGAAATTGTAAATGGTGATAGCTTACAGAATGAATCATGAATGATTAGCCTCATCTTACTCTATCAAAGATTGGCACATTATCTAGAAATGCATCTGTAAGCAGTTTTTGCTAGTGCCTATTTTTTCCCTATCTTTTATTGAGTGTTACTCTTTGCCCAATGAATAGGCACTCATATTATACTCAACACAACTTTAATACTAAGCACCTCAAGTTTCAGTCATCCCAAATATTTCATAACTTATTGTTGGTGCTTTTACAGTTCATTTTTTATGTTACGTAAGCTGCATGCATTTGTTTAGAAACACACTTAAGCCCATTAGTACCCTTCACTTCTTGAGTAAACACCTAGAGACACTGAACTACACATCTTGGTTGCCCCTGTCTGTGCTTTTATCCCCTCATCTACTGTGTAAAAATGTTAAAGAATGGTTCTTGAGAAACAGCATATCTGCTATTACAATTGAGTAAATATGTTTGGATTCTTGAAAATCATTTGTGTTTTTGTGCATTTGATCTTGTTGTGAGTCTTCAATACCTGGGAATAAGCTGGTTGCCAATGCCCATGGGATTTCATGATCCCATGAACCTTACCCACATACAAAAGATCACTAGACTGGTCTATTGGTCTATCCTTTCTATGCTTATTTTCCTGCCATGATATCATGGAACCTGGGCTCTTGACAGGGTACCCTCACACTAATGATTCCTCATTCCCTTAATAGCTTCTGCTTAGTTCATCCCTGCAATGCCTCTTTCTGACTAGCCCCATGGAAAAGTCTTACCTTTTCATGTCATCCATGGATATCCTTCCCCCCCCCCCCCCCNTGGGGTAGGCCTAGGCGTGCGAAATTTGTCCCCAGGGCGTGTACACCCCCCCCCCCCCCCCCCCCCCCCCCCCCAGTCTTCCTTGCCCTGAGCAGTTAAGAACTCAAATATCCCTTTTTCCTATACCAAGACCTAATAATACTTCACTACTGTCTGGCCTATTGTCCACTACTACTGGCCACTATTGTCTACCACTAGCAATTCTGGAATGCTCCAAGGACTAGTGAACTTCATTCTTTTGGAGTATTCCAATAACTGAAACAATCATATTGAACTTCATCTTTGTTCTTCAGGCCATTTTTTAAAGCATAATGTGTCACCCATTTTTGTGCATTTGTCATTTTTAAAATGATTCTTGCATATTTTTTATTTTATTTTATACTTCCCAGCTTTTTCTGATGTTCTCGATTTATTAAATTCATATTTCCTTAGTTTCTTGTATATGTGCTACTTATTTTGTGTGCTTTTCAATTTCTTTATTTTCATGTTACCCTGTTCTTGCCCACTATTGATAATTCTTTGAAATTTTAAAAATTCTTTGATTATTTTCTTCTTTGGCTTCCCCATAGCACTTTAAAAAAATTTGGATATTCTTATTTAGGTGAAGAAAGAAGTATACATGTACTTTTGATGATATGCTTTTGATTTTTGGTAGCAAAGTTCATTCTGGTTATCAGTGGGGATATTGATGCCACAGGAATTGTAAGGAATTTGTTTGTTTCTATTGACTGCCATAACAGAGTAGGTTTATGATATGAATTTCACCATGCTGATATTCTGTCATCACACTTTCATAGCCTGATTCACCTCATGCTACAAAACGAATTGATTTAGCTATGAAAATCTTGTCATTCCTTGCTAATTCCATGATTTTCTGCCTTTAGGTGTCTTTGGCCAGCTGTACCCTGAAATACAGTGTGCTGCTTTGTGCTGACGTTGTCTGACATTTTAAATTTCAATAAGTGCTTCTTTGTACAGTTTCACATATTTTTTCTCCTATGCTTCTTCCTGTGTGGAATTCAAACAAGACAAGGAAAGAAGTGGTCAGTGTGAGCCATTCTGCTTCTTTTGATGAAGTTACAATCTCCATCCATAAAGCATTTCAGGTGAGGTTTCACCATGCATTATGATTCAACCTGCATGATTTGGATGGAAATGGAGCTTTTCCCTGTTATTGTATTCATTGTGTAAGGTTGCTGGCAGTTGATTTCCAATGGAAAACCATTGGGATAGACATAAAGCTTACTCAGAAAGCAATTATTGAAGAGCATTCTGCCCAGTTCTGTTGGCTAATGGAACCAATGGCAGGTGTAATTAAAGCTTATGAAAACTTGAAACCAGTGTAGCAGAGTTTTATTTTGAACCTCACCATGGTTCTTTATTGGGCCAAAAGAAAGAGAAAGTCAACCTATTTTGGAGGTTGATTTTCCTTTTTTCTGACTCTCTCCTTTTGGCCTTTGACACCGAGCTGAGAAAGAAATCATTGAGGTCCATGAACTGTGCTGCTGCGATGATGGGTCTCACCAGAATGAGGAAGGCTAGGCTGGAAGTTCGTAAGAAAACCAGACTCAGGTCATTTCAAGAGGACCGACCTGAGACCTGAAGACTTTGTGCATGCTCAGGAAGGCTCTGGTCATGCTAGCAGATGCAGGGGTCTGGGTAGGGTGTGTGGCATGGCCACTCCAGGTTGCCAAGGCCTGTTATATATGATGATGCACTTATTGTGCAAAACAGTGTGCATGCTCCACTTTGAACTATTAGGTGCTAGTTTTTATCTATATGAATATATACATGGCTTACATTTTTACCTTGTGCCAGCAGTTGGAGACTAATTGTGAAGTTAAGCCAAAAGTCGCTGGCCAACAAACTGCTTTCTGCTGCTCTGAGCGTAAAAGCTTGCGTATATTTCAGAGACCTTCATAAATAATCATGTATTTGTTAACTTGTAAAAGGCTTTTGATAATCTACATTCCCAATCACAACAGGCTAATAGTATTGCATAAATTTGATTTTTGTCAATGTCTTTTCATATTGGAATAATAGTCAATTGCTGAGAACAGTGGAATTCAGTCACTATAAATAATCTTCATCTGCTCGTCTTAGCTCTCCTACCTTTATGTTACTTATGACCTTTGTAGACATAGAGTACCTTCTTTCTTGCTTTTTTTGTTGCATCTCTTGAGTGTTATTCCTTTAGTGTGAATTGTGGCAAAGAACTTGCATTATTGTGAACCCAAGTCCAGTACCATGAAATTGTTAATTTACTCTCCTTTTGTATTTTCTCGCAGATTCCATCAGAAGTGAGCGTGAAACTTGTTTCAGCTGATGATGGGACAGAAGTTGATGATATCCCTTTTCTGCAAGCAGTATTGGATTGTGGGACAGAGTTCATGATTCTTGCCCCTTGGGACAAATTTGAAGGTTTGTGGAATCATTGCCTTGAGAGCATTTTGTTTTGTCTCTGAGGGCACAAACACAAGGTAGTACCTATTAACAGCTCAGACATAACTGCTTTCGAAAGCATTCTCATAATTTTCATATTAAAAATGTCATTAATCTTATGTGTATTAAGTTTCTTTTTAACAAAATTAAAGAACTCTCAGTTTAAATATGTTGTTTCTTGGGTTTCTCCATCAGCAATCTATAGGTATTTATGCTTGATTTGTTTGGAACAATTGCCCAGGAATGAACTCAATGGAGGGCAGTGCTAGTATTCACCAAGAAATTTATAATGCTGATTGATCTGATTGGACTCCACTGGGGACTGAACTTTACAGTCCTGTAGTTGTTGAAGTAATGTGGTAGAAGCTTTTAGCTTCATCAGCTAAAGGCTGCCATCGATGAACCATTGTCATTTTTTGTTGTTGCAGTTAATGAATTTCTTAAGAGTTAGACAAGCAAGACTAAAGTGAATGTTCACAACACTGATAGCTGCGAAGAGAGTAAAATCAGCTGTCATTAATGACTACAAGGAAAGCATTGATATAGATAAGAAATTATAGAGGTCCCAGGGTGGTAAGCTATGAGCAACCATGCTATCTATGAAGATATGTGATGTGTTGAATGGTAACTGACTTTTGGGTCTAAATTTTCACTTTTAGATTTTGGTATAATGCTCTCCATTTGCAGCAATTAATAATTGGTATATAATAAACAAATAATTTCAAGTAAGTTATCCTAGAAATGAGAATGCATCAGTGCTTCTTTTCAAAAACTTCCTGTTACCATGCCTTCTTAAAGAGTGGCTGTTTAAGCACCTCTGCCTAGGTAGTCAACCCTTACCTTCATGGGGCAGCCTGTTAGTGCATCAGGAACTCTGGCACTTCCTCATTTCCTGAATTATTTTGCTGTAAATGTTTTTTCTTTGTGTATTCATGTTAAATTGTTAGTTTCAAAATCTGTTAATTGAATTTTTGACCCAAGAAGGTTGTTTTTGTTCATTGCATCATACATGAAAACATCATTACTCTGAGTGTGTTGGATAGCTGCAGAGTGATGCGCCCTTGTAAAGGATTGTCTCAAAGGTATAAAGTTCCAGTGTTTCATGATTCATCATTAATATCTCAGTATCTCATGATTCAGTCAAATGCTTCAGCATAGGCATAAAAATGCCCATTGACATATTCCCAATGAAGCATTAATTAGAAAAAACTACTGGTGTCAGCTATTTCAGGAGAGCATCCTAGAAGCATGGCATTTGAAAAATTCATTTTGTGTTTGAAGAAACATACAGTACTTTTGGAGATAATTTGGAAAGGAATCATACCTGCTAGCCTTTCCAGATTTTGGAGAAAACTGAAAGTTGTGTGATAGGTCAAGCGTGATGCCTGTATCACACTACTCTGTCCTGCTGTGAACCTGTCATATTTTGAATATGACAGGTTCAGTACCTGAAGGCTGGATATATAATCATTTCCTATTAAAAGTGCTTTATTGTCAGTACTACTTTTAATTCCAAAATATTAGCACCAAACCACCATTGCATTCTTTGGCACCCTTCATGAGCATCCATCCTTTGTGCCTGAACTGTATAGTATTTACATTTTTCAATGCAATAATAAGATTGGACATTGCCTTATTAATTTTAATTTCATCATGTCTTGTTTGGAATTCTCATGGATCTTGTTTTGCAACTTCTCTTAAAAGGTTTGACAACAGCTAACCCTTCTCTGCACCATGTTACCAATTGGGATCCTACCTAATTAATTTTTATATGTATTGGCTGAAGACTTGCTTTGTGGTGAATGGGGAATTCCTACAATATTCATGATATTCCTGATTGGGAACAACATGAATATTTTTCAAGTGTGTGATTGTTACTAACTGGGAACATCTTGAAAAAATTGTTAGTACAGTAACTGAGTGAAGACCTTTGGCCTTATGTTGCTGCAATTTCTCATTTTAAAAAAAGGTATGTCTTAATGTCTAAAAAATTCTGTCTTGTATCTTTATCATGCATCTTTGCCTGACCTCTTCCAAGTTGTACCTGTGGGAGTTTCTATCTTTTCAAAAATTCCCTCATTTTGTGGAAAGCCTAGAATGAAATAGAATTTCCTAATTTTGGCAGTTTGATACAAAATGTATTCTCTCTCTGCTGTTCAGGTAATGCATATGAAATGTAAATGCTTTCTGTAAAGCCATTCATATATCATGCAGTAAAGGGTTGAAATTAGGAACAGGAATAGAACACATAATGAATAAAAGTTGCCTGCTGGTCATGACAGATTCACTTATGTTCTAAACTCTAGCATTGTAAACTCTATTTTCCTCTAAACACCCCAATTTCCCCGTGTTGTGAACTGCTCCATTATAGCCAGTTGTCTTACTTATACTTTGCATGTACCATTACACTTGTTGTGGATACTTTACCAATAAATATTTTAAGGCTCTTTGGATATAGTGCTGGAAGGAAAATTGCCTCAATTTTGGACATGATTAATTTTTAAATTTGAATGGAGTACAAAATGAGTGGTCAATAATGGTTATGCAGTAATGTCATTACTGGGTTAATTGCTAATTCCTCCCAGATTTCAGTGGTAGGCTTATTGCATGTAACTGAAGGCCAAGATGTATTGATATTTCCAATATGTGGTCCTTTCTTATATCTTAGGCAACTAAGATTGGTGTCTACTGTCCTGGAGCCTCTGCCAAAGCAACCACTCCATCCACCATGGAGGAGGAGGGGGACAAGTGATGCCTATCTCTGTGACCGCTATGGACAGACTTGACATTATTGTGTCGGACATTTTCATGCCGAGCATAGTGATAGTGACGAGAAGCTCTGAAGTGTTTTGCACCATACTGAAAGCTTCAGCTCTTGGTGAAGCTTTCTCAGGTGCTTTCATGAAACTATGAACCTGGACTCATTGAGTTTTCAGTTGTCCCAAATCAGTAATTGTGTTGCCAGCTTGAACAAGAAGAACTTCAAGTCTGTGAGTGAGGAGTTGGAGCATTTTGTTTCCATTCTTGGTCAAGTGGCAGAGAGGCATTTGCTGCGCTGTCTTTTCTCGCACGTGGACTTCTCTGGTGAAGCTGGGAAAAGTGGGGCATCAAGGGACTCTGCTCAGCTTCAGTACCTGATCCAAGAGTGTTCATCTATCATTTCAAAGCCAAATTTTGTAGGAAACGTGTGCTTTGCAATTGACAACCCTCTGCACCAGCAGAAGAGCTTGAAATCCTCCAGCGTTCTCTTACAATTGAGTCGTGTGTTAAAATTCAACAAAGTTCAAGAGATTGCATTTGGGTTGGCACTTCTCAATTCATCACGTTCTGAAACTCAGGCTCACGCTCAGCAGTTTCTCAAGAATAAGTTGCCTGCTTTTGTGAAGAACTGTGTGGAATCTTCTGAGAACGGAAGTGTGCAACCCTCATTGGCAGATATTCCTCCAGAAGTCTTACACCTGATTGCTCTCAACATCTTGAATCCGGGAGCTGAACAGTTCTTGTCGAGCTCTGAGGATAGAAATTTCCTTAAAGCTTTGTGTAAGGTATTCCCTCGAGCACAAGTTCCAGTGATATTAGCACCTCTGCTATATGGTGAACAAGAGGACATGAACATGGAAGTGAATTCAGATATCAGCCAGAACAGTATGGCCAGAAGTCTACTGGAAAACTCTTTGGCTGACACTATTATGGAGTTAGGGTATACAGTCACCAACAGCATTGAAGAATGTCATAACACTCTGGTGAATATTGGACTTCCAGAGATCACTCCAGGAGCAGTTGCTAAAGTCCTGGCGTTGATGATACGGACGCATACAGGACTCGGTGATCCAGTATCTCTACAGAATCTCCAAAGTCCATCATCACTGTGGAATGACAAAGACAAGTCAGAGTCTTCAGGCCAGTTTCAGACATCCTGGAATATTGAGAACTTCATTATGGCATTGAATGAAATTCAAGCAAACCTGAATTGGAGAGATGTTGTCTTGCAGCTGGACCATCCTGGATTTGTTGTGAAAGATAGACATGGTCTGAACCTTCTCATCAAGGCATTGAAGCTAGGACTTCAGAACCAGTCTTTTCCCATTGAACTGACTTATAGGCATTGGAAAAATGTGGATGGTCAGCTGTCATTGATTCATCATATCCTGAAAGGCTCTGACATTCTTTGTTTTGCTGATTTTCCATGCCGTCAAGTTAATGTTGAGATACTCAAGTCTCCTCCAGAAGCAGAAAATAAGGAAATTGCAACATGGAAGTCCCTTGATCTCATGGAAGCCCTCCTGTATATCTCTGATGCAGGAAGCTACACTCAAGCTCAGGAGCTCTTTAAATTCCCCATTCAACACTGCCCAGATGTGCTAGTTCTTGGCCTGCTACAAATCAGCCCTCCTATCACACGTCTTCGACAAGACCTCTTGACCAATCTCATTCCAGTGTTCCTAGGGAACCATCCAAATTCTGCAATTGTGTTACACCATGCTTGGAATTGCCAACAACAACCAGCAGTGAAGCCCATCATCATGCATGCAATGGCTGAATGGTATTTGCGAGGAGATGGAGATCAACAGCGACTATCTCGAATTCTTGATGTTGCTCAGGATTTGAAAGCCCTTTCCGTCCTCCTGAATGTCCAGTCTTATCCATTTGTGATTGACCTTGCCTGTCTTGCCTCAAGAAGGGAATACTTGAAGCTGGACAAATGGCTGTCAGATAAAATTCGAGAGCACCGTGAACCATTTGTGTCGGCATGTATAAAATTCCTACAAAGACGCTGTCCCCAGATTCTTGGAGGCATGGCCAATGATGAGGCAATGCCCAAGTCAATGTCAATCCCTTCTGAAACTGTTGCTACAGTGGTGAGTTGTTTACAGGCAGGTTTACAGGCTGGGAGTGTCTCCCAAGAATTAGCAGAGCCGATCTTGACGATGGTGAGCGATCACAGTGTGATGTTGGCTCGAAGCAGGCTTGTATCCTCAACTGTACCACCTGTGACTAAAGCAAGCACCATCACACGGTCTTCGGCACTGGATAATATTTTTCCATCCTCTTCACTGAGCTCTTCTATATTGAATGCATCCCACCAGGTCGACCTTACTCCAGGCAGTCTCTCAACAAGCATTGCAAACTTGAGTCTTGGAAACTCTACCAGTACTGGATCTACTAGCAGTTCATCAGTTTTCAGCAACTTGCCTAGTTCACTGAATGCATTCAGTCAATCTCCAGCATCTCCAGCACGTTTATATGGATCGTCTCCTGCCCCATCTACTGCTATTGGCTTCACCCCAGTGACTCCTCAGGCTCAGAATGCTCTAGGAGGATTGTCAAACCCTTTGTCTGGCATATCATCCGGTACTTCAACAAGTCAGCTATCGAGTATTATTGGACGATCCCAGTTCAGTGTTCCTGGCACTGCATCCACACGAACAACTACAGATTTGCCTAATCTGTTCCCAGATGTTGTGGACAAGGATATAGAGGATGAAGCAAACAGCTACTTCCAGAGAATCTATCACCATCCTCAGCCACAGATGTCAGTTGATGAAGTCTTACAGATGCTCAAGAGGTTCCTTGATTCCAATTCCAAGAGGGAAAAGGATGTCTTTAATTGCATGGTGAAAAATCTATTTGAGGAATATAGATTTTTCCCCCAGTATCCAGAGAAAGAACTATTTACAACTGCTCAGCTCTTTGGAGGCATAATTGAATATGGTCTAGTCACCTATATGTTGCTTGGCATTGCTCTGAGGTATGTCTTGGATGCCCTGAAGAAATCTTTTGGCAGCAAGATGTACCACTTTGGAGTCACTGCTCTCGACAGGTTCAAGACCAGATTGAAGGAATATCCCCAATACTGCCAGCATTTAGCTGCTATCCCTCATTTCCGTCAGTTCCCAAGTGGCATTATCACTTATGTTGAGTATGGTGCCAGATCTGAGGAACCTCCAAATAGGAGTCAAGGCCCAACATTGACTGCACTGACAATGACTTCGCAGACAACTACAAATGCAGGAGTCATTGGTCAGGGTTCCGGGAATCGAGGAATGACATCCTCCATCTCCTCATCTACAACAACCTCTATCCAGACATCTGCAGGCAGGCCATCCATTGCCAATACGACCAACATTGATACATTACTTGTGGCTACAGAGAAGGAAGACAAAGTGGCTGTGCCACCTGAGCAACTGCAAGACCGTGTGGCATTTATTTTCAATAACTTATCTCAAGTAAATTTGCAGCAAAAATGTGATGAAACAAAGGAACTGATTGAGGAGGAACATTGGCCTTGGATTGCACAATACTTGGTGATGAAGCGAGCAAGCATTGAGCCAAACTTTCATCTGTTGTATTCAAACTTTCTGGATACTCTCAAGTCACCAGAGCTGAACAGAATGGTGATTCGAGAAACATACAGAAACATCAAGGTGCTCCTTCGCAGTGATAAGGGGATTGCCAATTTCTCAGATAGGTCCTTGCTAAAGAATTTGGGACACTGGCTTGGTATGCTGACTCTAGCAAAGAATAAGCCAATCCTCCAGGTCAACCTTGACCCAAGGGCATTACTTATTGAAGCACACCATCGTGGGACTCAAGAGCTTCTATATGTTGTCCCATTTGTGGCAAAGATTTTAGAATCTTGTGCCAAGAGCAAAGTTTTCAAACCACCTTGCCCATGGACAATGGCCATCATGAATGTCCTTGCTGAGCTCCATTCAGAACAGGACCTAAAGCTGAACCTAAAGTTTGAGATTGAAGTACTCTGTAAGAACCTGAAGTTGGAGATCAGTGATCTAAAGCCAACAACTGTGCTAAAGGAATTAGAACGGATAGCAAAGCTAGAAATGCAGCTTTCACAAGGAAAACCACAGGGTGAAGGAATCCCAGCTCCTATTGCAGCCCCAGTTCATCCACCAGCTCCTCCAGCCCCAGTTCAACCACCAGTTGCTCCTCCTGTACCTGTGAGTAGCGAAGTGGAACAAATGACAAATCTACCAATGATGCCAGTGTCTTCTCCACCAGTGACAAGTCGAGGAACATCATCAACTCCAACCCCTCAGATCACAACATTGGCCTTTCAACCCAAGTATAGCTACCATGAGATTAACATCAGTTCCATTGGTGGGCTTTCCCAGCACATTGGAGTGAGTGGACAGATGTCATTGCTCCAGGCACATCCACAATTGAAGCTCCTTGTAAGACCAGCTGTTGAGAGAGCAGTCCAAGAATGCATTGGGCCCATGGTTGAAAGATCTGTAAAGATTGCCCTGACTACAGCTGAGCAGATTGTGAAGAAAGACTTTGCCCTTGATCCAGAGGAGACTCGAATGAGGATTGCTGCTCACCATATTGTCCGCAACCTAACCGCTGGAATGTGCATGATAACTTGTCGAGAACAGCTTCTTGTTTCCATCATTGCCAACTTGAAGAATGCTTTCCAAACTGCCCTTCAAGGAGCAACTGGCCAGCAGAAAGAAGTGATCGAACAAGCTTCAAATCTCATTGCCCAAGAGAATGTGGAATTGGCATGTGCTTTCATCCAGAAGAATGCCATTGAAAAGGCTGTAATTGAGATTGATAAGCGACTGGCACCAGATTTTGAATTGAGAAAGCTTGCCAAGGGAGAAGGGAGAAGATTCTGTGAACCATACACCTTGACATACCAGGCTGAGAGAATGGCAGAGCAGATCAGATTGAAGGTTGGAAATGTGACACCGCAGCAGATGGCTGTGTATGAAGAGTTTGCCCGCAATATCCCAGGATTCCTTCCTATATCTGACAGGGACCTCTTGGCCCTTATACCTAAACCAGTGCCTTCCTATGTCCCAGATGACATCAGTCAGCTCTATGGGAAAGTGGCCACTGAATTGGAGAATTGTTTGAGCACCATGATGAATCATGCAGGTAGTCCTCTGTTCATGGGTTTGGAGCAACTCTTGGAAAGTGTGCTCATTGCCAGACAGAATCGTGATGCTATAACAGGGAGTGCATTACTTCAGAAAGGAGTGGAAGGCTTACTTGAAGGCATGAGTCACATTTCACCCAACGATCAGGAGATGTTCATTCGATACAGAGATGGTCACTTGTTGGTTCTCAAGGCTTTACAAGACCCTCGTGGTTTTGGTCCCCAGTGGACCAACCGTCAAGTAACAAAGCACTGGATTGATGCCCGAGAGGAAGTGAAATGGAACATTGATGTTATTGATGCACTAATCAGGGCTACCCTGCTGTCTATGCCACAATTCGATCTTCATCTGGCCCAATCCATTGAGAGTGGGATGAACTATTCTGCTGTCACTCTTGCCATGCAGCTGATTCAGGTATATCTTGTGGATGAACGAAACAACAGCCCACTTGCTGAGGCAGACCTATGTAATACCATTGAAGTGCTGATGCGAATTGCTCCACAGTCACGCCAAGCCCCAGATGGATTGCCTAGCTTACTGGACCTCTTGCGAACAGGAGGGGATTCCACCTTCCCTGAACGTGTTCCAGGTGGACCAACTTCACATATCTTTTCTGGGATATCTCAAGCACAGGAATTTGATGATCCACCTGGTCTGCATGAGAAGACTGAGATGCTCCTGAGGGATTGGATCAACATGTACCAGAACCCCAATCAGGGGAATGACCTCACACGTGGTTTCACCCTCTTTGTCCATCAACTGAATGTTCAGGGCATCTTGCGAACTGATGAGCTCATCACACGGTTCTTCAGAGTTAGCACCCAGATTTGTGTCAACATGTGCTATCAAATTTTGAAGGAAGAACCATCACCAGTTCAGAGGAGCAGTTGTTGCAGGACTCTGGATGCCTTTGTCCATTTAATTGCCATGCTTGTCAGATATTCAGGAGACAATGCCAATGCTGTCACGAAGATCAATCTCCTGAACAAGGTGCTTGGAGTCATTGCTGGAGTTCTCTTGCAAGACCATGAAGCTCGTGGGGCTGATTTCCATCAATTTCCTTACCATCGTATATTTCAGCTACTGTTCCTCGAGCTGAATTCTCCTGAGCCTGTATTTGAAGGGATCAACTTTCAAGTTTTGACTGCATTTTGTCACACGCTTCATCTGATCAGACCAGCTAAAGCTCCAGGGTTCACTTATGCTTGGCTAGACATGGTGGGGCATCGGGTATTCCTCACTCGTTTGCTCGTTCACACACCCCAGCAAAAGGGATGGACCATGTATGCTCAGCTTTTGGTTGACATCTTCAAGTTTCTGTACCCATTCTTGAGGAATGCAGATCTCTCAAAAGCAATGATGGCTTTGTACCGTGGGGTCCTTCGCATCCTTCTGGTTCTTCTTCATGATTTCCCTGAATTTCTTTGTCAATATCATTATGGATTTTGTGATGTCATCCCGCCCAATTGCATCCAGATGCGGAACCTCATTCTTTCGGCCTTCCCACGTAACATGCGCCTACCTGACCCGTTTACCTCGAACCTGAAAGTGGATCTTCTTCCCGAGATCACTCATGCACCCCGTATCATGACCAATTTTGCTGCCATGATCCAACCGCCCAACTTCAAGAAAGACCTAGACAGTTACCTGAAGACGCGAGCTCCAGTCACGTTCCTGACCGAGCTGAGAACAAATCTCCAAGTCACCACTGAAGCTGGATTGCATTATAATGTCCCTCTGATCAACGCCCTGGTGCTGTATGTCGGGACCCAGGCCATCAGCTTCATTCATAGCAAGGGCTTGACGCCATCAATGGCCACAATCACGCACTCATCGCACATGGACATCTTCCAGAATCTTGCCGTCGATTTGGACACTGAAGGAAGGTATCTGTTCCTGTCGGCAATTGCGAACCAGCTCCGATATCCCAACAGCCACACGCATTACTTCAGCTGCACCTTACTCTACCTCTTTTCAGAGGCTAACAGTCAGGCATTGCAAGAACAGATTACACGGGTTCTGCTTGAACGGCTCATAGTGAGTCGCCCTCACCCTTGGGGTCTTCTGATCACGTTCATTGAACTCATTCGCAATCCTGCATTCAAGTTCTGGCAGCACGACTTTGTTCGCTGCGCCCCAGAGATCGAGAAGCTCTTCGAGTCCATAGCCAGATCCTGCATCATGCAGAAAGGCGCGCCCCCGCGGGACCAAGATGCCGAGGGTTTGAAGAGCTGAGAAAGGGCTCCTCTGTTGTGTTTCTGTCTCTCTTTCTGATGACGCGTCTTCCCTCCTGCATGGTGAAGTGACTTGGAATAGACCTAAAGCAGGATCGTGACCGTGAGAGATTGTGATTATTACAAAGTTCAGTGCAAAAATGGGTGATTCAATCCTCTGTGACCATGGGTGGGAATTGTGATGTTACAGAAAATCTCACTCTTCACAATGACTATTGAGGCAGGCAGCCATTACAGTTTGGTGCACTTGTTAGGATTATTGTCCATTTCGGTTTAATTTTTTCCCTCTTGTATGAAGATCTCTTGATCTGTGTTTCTTGGTTCGGTAGGATTGCTAGGTTGATATTTTCCTTTGCTGTGTTACTTTACCTGATGTCTCTTATCTTGTACATAAGAAATACTGTGCTTTCTCAATAAAGTTTTGTCATGACTGAATTAGTTTCTCATTCGCTTCTCATTTCTCCTTTATTTTAAACAGACATCTGACCACCCCTGCGTAAGGTTTCTGAAAAACATGATGAAATGCTTTCCCTAAAATGTCAAGTGACGTATCCAGATACTTCATCGGGAGTCATGAGCGAGATTGAGTACATATGCTTAGAAGTCCTCGCGAAGATTTCTGTCGATAGAGACATTTACTATGCATTTTCATGAAGAATGGATGATGAGTTTCTCGCAAAATTTGAGGTGTCAGAAATTCCGGATAAATTTTTAGAAAATGAACAAAGCTTCCTACGACGTGATATTAGGTACTCTCCCACAAAGAAACTCACCTCAATGAAATTTCTTTATTGGCGAGAGCTGATTCCGTTGGTGGAAAGAACCCAGGTGTGAATCTAATATATGAGTCCTTGCTTCTGTAAAAGTGAAAATAACTAGTAAAACCATTTAGTTAAGATTAGCTTTGCATGAGTTGCATCAAATCAGACAACACAGCTATTACACTTCAGGTGCACTCATACACGCAGCAAGACCAGAGAGAGTTCATTGTTCTTTGGCCGAGGGCTCTTGAAGGAGATGGAGGAAGAGTATGCTTGCTCGGTGCAATTTTTTTTTTATGAGGCGGAAAGTACATGTTCCTTGAGTAGCCAGCAGCAAGTCTTTAGAAGCTAACTTTTTACACCAAAACCCATGAGATCCAGGGACGCCTCCTATGACGAAAATCTTCCTATTCCGATGGAGGCAAAGAATCCCGTCCAGCCTTAAATGCGAGTATAGTGCATCCATGGCTTAAATGAAAATGTGCCCTACAAAGAACCGAGCCCTTATCTAAGGCAGCGATGCCCCTCTACAATGGTTCATATATGTTATCTCCAAGAAGATTTTAGCTTTTGCCTGGGCCACTGGGAACATTTTTTTAATAAGTGAAGTAAAACACAAGATAACATCATTTATGAAATAGCCTGTTTCCTGCGTATCATAAAAAAAACAAGTTCAAGGGAAAATGTTGAAATTAGGATTAAGAAGAGCAGATAACTGCTCCATGAATTATAACCCTTGTAGTCACTCTGACATGCCCATTCTGCAGCATATAGGGCAATATGGCATATTTACTGCATATGAACTCCGCAAAGGTGGATCAAAGTTTGGGAGCCATTTTTTTTGGGCCCCAATGTGACTTGGCTGGCCTTTTGGGTGCATCAGTGTCTCAAGCATCACAATTAACTTCGTCAGCTTCATTGGTAATGAAATGCTGGAATGATCACTACTCGGCTTCGTCAATCACCAAAGGCATTCATTTGTATTGGGAAGGGGATGATCCTGAGTCCATGTGGTCGATGGTAAAACGCTGAAAGAAAATGTAACGGTTTCTTCCCCAATGAGTTTGGTAACTTGTATACATATCCTCCTGACCTGGCGTGAGTTGCTTCGAATTCACTCAAATCATGACATTTTATAATTAAAAAAATAATGCCATTGTCAACTGATATCCCAGGTTCAAAGAACCAATGCTTGTGAAAGGTAAGTTGCCTCATTTCGATGCAAGAACTTTACAAGCCAATCGCCCTTCCCAAATTGAACTGAACTATTCACGCCCAGGATTGCGCGAGCGGTTCAACCGCGTGTTGGAGGACGTGATCAACCAGCACCAGGAGCTGAACGAGCGCATCGACGGCTTCTTCCACAAGGACCTCCTCGAGAAGCTGAACCGGATTTCCTCCTACGTGGGCGGGTTGCCCCAGAGGAGGAAGCTGTCGTCGCGTCGCGACGATCCCGACTGGTTCCAAGGTATCCAATGTTTTCGTGTGGGGAAGGCTTCCGGGAAAGTGTGCATGTGTGGTGTAGAGAGAACGGAATCGATCGGTCGTAAATAAGACTCTGTGCAGTGACACATTGCTCGGCTGCATCACGTATTCATGCCGATGGTTGCGTGAGGGGGTACGCCTCGTCCTGGAAGAGGCGATTGGACCGCACAATTGACTTAGTAATCAAGAATGACTGTTTTTGTCGATACGCTCCGTTTCTTTCTCTCTGCTCTCTTTTTTTTAATGCAGACTTTTTCATCCATGTTTCATTACTCATTCATTAATCATCCTATGAACGATTCGGCCATTCTCGTTGCTCCGTTCGACTGTATCATTTTATTAATTAAATTCATACGCTGGGTGTTACCTACGGTACCTATGAAAATCACAGGAAATTGTATCGTGCCATAGGTCTTTTGTGTTTGAAGCGGAGAATTCGAGAAAAATCACTCTCCTCATAAACTCTCATTCCGAAACTTCGACGGCATTTTATCATCTCTGCACTGCGATATCCTCACCTTTCCAGTCGCGTTTCCTTCACTTAGGGATCAACGAGAGGATCCAGACGAAAGAGGAAGCCCTGCGGGCACGGGCCCAGAGTCGGATGCGGAACTACCTGCGGGACGCCCGCAACCAGACTCGAGGAGACCCCGCAGCCCTGCAGGTGCACGCCAGGCTGTTGAACGCCTTCGGGGCCCTGCAGGACATGCTCCGACGGGACGACTACCAGGGGCATCTGTTCGACAGGAAAGAGTTGGAGAGTCTGTGCGACGAGGAGGGGACCTTCGCCTGTCAGGGGAGGTTCGACCTCGAGGAGTGCTCGTACGGGGAGGGGCATGTCATCAATCCGTATGATAACAGGGAGAGTCTGCTGCTCTTTCAGAACTGGAATTTGGATCATGGGTGGGTTGGGGGTTTTCGGGACGTTCTTTGTCTCTCAGGCTCGATCGATTCGAATTACTTTTCTTGTTTTCCTGTAGGATCGAACGGTCCCGCACGGTGGTTCCAGGTCTCGTTGCCGCCATCGTCAAAGGAGGAAGGCGGAATGTGAATATGGAGTACTTTTATGCACTTCTCTTCACCACTGAGAATTTGAGGCTTGTTCATACGGTGTGTCATGAGAAAGGGCATCATCGGCGCGGTCTTGACCCCGATGAGATTTACCTTTGAATTCTCTTATTCTGTTTTTTCACAAATTCTCTCGATGAGTTCATGAGTGCGGGTTTCTGATTGCACGTTAAACTTTTCGTGCCGGAAATGCTTTTACATCCTCCTATTTTCGCTAGGGATGAATTTTATTCTGATCTCAGGCATGGTATCACCAAGGGACTCCGATTCTCATGAATATGGTTGAATTTGAGCATTAAAAAATCGATTGGGACGGAAAGCAAGGCACGGCTGAATCATTTCGCAATGCGACAGACGCACGATGCAGACGAGTTATAGCGGACACAAACGACACAAACAGCTTTGAAAGCACTCACAAAGACGAAAAGGAAAGTGATTTCAGGGAATAAAAATTTGGATGGGAGAAAATTCGCGAGGCTATGAGAGGAAACTCAGAGTTTGTAGGCGTTTCTCATCATGAGGTCGAAGTAAATATCCGTGTCGATCGATGCACTGATCCCACTGTAGTAATCCAGGAATTCTTCCTTCGTCACCTGATGGAGATTAAAGAAATGTGATTTGAGCATGACCTTGAAGATGGATCCAAGGGAATTGGGCGGCACGTAACACTTTTTGGAAACTCCACAGCCTTTATCGATGTTTTCATCGGGGGGGGGGGGGGCATAACTTTGTCAGCCACTCACTTCTTTGCAAGGCACAGAACCCAACGGGTTCTCTGCCTCCGTCTTTTGCATCGATTCTAGGATTTTCTACAATTTAACATGTCATGGCATGTTAAATTACTTTTTGTGCCGGGTAAAAGTCGGCGTGCCACCCTCGGATCACATCTAGAGACAGCAACGAGCTCAGCCTACCTTGCCGTCCACGGTCCCGTGCTCCTCGAATTTCCCCAGGAATTTATTGATGATCTGGTCGTCCGACATCTGCCCGGACTGGTACTGCGGGTGGCTGGACACATTGTAGACCTTCCTGAGGTCCTCGACCGAGATGGTCCCGTCCCCGCTCGTGTCCATCTTCTGGAACGCCTGCTCCACCACCTTCTTGCGGGCGTCGTTCATCGGCGGCTGAAATCGATCGGTGCCATCATTTTCACCTGGGACTTTTTTCGGCCCATCGAAATCCGTTAAACGTTTCTCCCGACGTCCCTCGTGACGTCACACAGTCTTCGATCGAGGACCGGCACTCACCCGGACCTGGCGCAGGAACTCCTCGTAGTCGATCGTGCCGGATCCCCCGTTGTCGATCTGATCGAAGATGGCGTGGACCTCGTCGTCCTCCAGCTTCAGGCCTTGGTCCTTGAGGCCGTTGTTGAACTCGTCGAAACTCAGGGCGTGGCTCTTGTCGTTGTCCATCAAGCGAAACACCCTGGGCCACCAAAGCCTCGTCAATGATCTCCACGCTCTCGCTCCGAGAAATTCATCGAGTTCGCGAAATAACCCGTTGGCATTTATCGTTCGTCGCTTCAACAGGCCAAGAACGTTTCTTTTCTATAAAAATAGGCCTCCATACTGAGCAATAATGCCTCCGCTGCTCTCTCGAAGTAAAATTGAAGTTTTGCCAGATTGGCAAGACATTGCTTTTGTCTTTGTCTCATTGGCAGCCTTGCAGCAGAGCGCACGACACCCGGACGACGCGAGCCCAACGAATCCCTATTCCCTTTTCGAACCTCTACTTCCCTTTTTTTTTTCAAAAGCAAGATTATCGTTTCAAACTCCACCAAGTTTTTGTCATAACTTGAAGATGAGATATACTGAATGCTTAATTTAATGATAATATTTGTGCATCATTTGCGGTCAAGGTCAAGGTCAAGGTCAAGCCTGACAGTGAATGACGTCGATTTGGCCATTTTCGGCCCCGAAATGCTCCTGATCGGCGCGAATACTCGCAAGTGCAAAATGGCTCTTTTTGGCGTTTTGCAGGATCATTTTGGCTCTTTCATCCGGCTGTTAAGAGTTTCCTGATGAAATTTCATCAGGGCAAAAAAAAAAAATGTCGTTTCATAAACATTCCCTTTCCGTCGGAGCACACGACTGACTTGGTCTGTTATAATAAATAAATAAAAAAAATAAAATACAAAGCATAAAAAAGTATGACAAGTACAAAGCATGCTGAAAGAGAATAATCCTTCAATTCCGCTTAAAACGCGGACCTGTTATCGAGTCAGAGGATTCATGTGAATGCAAGATAGACTTTTGGAAATTGCAGATGATAGAAAAATATTCCGCTTGTAAGGTTGCCTGACCTTTAGAATATGTCGCTTTATAATCCAATGTGGCGTTACCATGAAATAATTTAAATATATATATATATATATATATATATTTCCCAATCCTGTCAATGCATGCGCAGATATTTTAAAGTTGAATCTGGAAATGAAACATAAACGTCATTTTTGACGGTAAAAGCAATGCTGAGAATGTTTCTCGTTGCCACTTTGGAACGAGTTAAATTAAACTAATTAAACGCCATGTTTTTCAGTGAGCTTCTTGCCTTTCGCAGACCGCTGCAAAACGCTTCCTACCTCAAAACAAATTGCACGCATCACCCGAGCTATTTCTACGCTCCGTCCCGTTTGCAAACAAAAAATAAGGGAAAACTCGGGAGGGACGAAACTCGAGAGGAAGAACCGTAATGTACGGACTTGCCGAATTGGAGGATTCCGGTGGTCCCCCTGCTCATGAGTTGAAGGCGAAGCTTCTCGACGGGATCCGTTTCTTTCATCAGTTTCAGCCTGGAATCCCATATCAGCTTTTCCTCGTTCCTGCCCCCCGACGTCTTCGGCCTCGACATCCTTCTCTGGCGACCGATCGGCTCCTGGAAGGAGACTCGAGGGTCGGAATGGCTCGGGGGAGGGGAGGGGAGACGCCACGGTTGCCGGATGTCGTCGGGATCCACGGTTGCCGGATGTCGTCGGGATCCACGGTTGCCGGATGTCAGCGGCATCCACGGTCTCAGATTGGCGCTCGAGGAAGGATGCAGGAAAAGGAGGCAGGAGCGGCGAGGGTCAGGCTCCGCAAGCCACCAGATGAAGAGCCGAAAGCTTGCCTTCCTTTTCCTTCACTCTTTCTCGAAGCGATATTTTCTCCGAATTGAAAATACTCTGCTTTCGGCATTCGACCAACCGTGTCTGTAATCGTCTATGCTTATGATAGGAATAGCGTCTATGTCTATAATATCAATTTTTTCATCGCTCTATGGCAACTGTAGGCTGTAGGTACAACATACTAGCACTCGCATTTGCGAGTGTGAACGCTGAAGAGTCCTCTCGGAAGGTGGGTCGTTACGGCGTACCGGAGGCGAGGTGGTTTGGCATCTCATGGAATCACATTTTCCGGTTTGCCTTCTCAACTAGAACTCGTTTGTCGCTATCCGACAGCAATCTCGATCTTTCTGAATGTGGCTCTGACGTGACGCCCTCCACTCCGTCCCATTTCTGGTTTCGTGCACGGTAGACTTTGCACGAGCAGTCATTTTGACTCTTCCACGGATTGGTTTTCCTCAAGAGTGGCGGCCAATCATGACGTGTCTTTAGCTCGTTACAGAAGGTTGATTGATTTCATTTACTTCCTGGGGGTCTCTCTTCTGCTACCATGGTGGCACCCAGTGCGTAACGGGTAGGCCGCTATGTGCCGTTGGCCATAATGAGTGAATCGTCCACATACTTTTGGAGAAGTGCTCTATTCTGGGAGGAATCTTTCCCAAGGCGAGTCGGAGATCGTTCTCCACTTGCAGCCGCGAACGTAACTTCGTTTTTTACCGAAGTCGGAACAGAGAATCCAGTTTCACACAGATATTCGAAAGCGAAGGGGATCATGTCGCCTTCTCTACAAGAAGGGAATATTCTTTGAATTGAGAATAAGGTGGAAGGAGAAGGAAGAAGGGGAGGCTCGCAGGTGTGCAAGGGCCGAGCTAATTCCATTTCTCAGGATTGGTATGTGCGGATATAGCTTGCTTTTATCGTGGGAAACTTGTCGCGACCCACCTTGAAGCTCTTCGCGGCCCACTGCTGGGTCGCGTGGGTCGCGACCCATCGTTTGGGAACCGCTGCTCTAGGCCGGTCGTGCGCTGACGAAGCCGGTCGATGGCGTTGATAAACTCGACTTAGCCAAGAGCTTTCGCTGTCTCTCTTATTGGCTGTCCTCGGCCGACCACCGTCTCTGTTTGGCCATTCTCTTAATGGAACGAATATATTTGCCGAGCATTTTGGGGCCGTCATGGTTGCCTTCTGGTGCTTCGGATAATGCTGTCGCCCCACTGGATCAACTTCGTTCTAAATATATACACACGCAGTCGAACCCAATTATAACGTCATCAAAGAGAGCAGGAAAAACCCATCGTCACAGCCGAGATCCATCATAATCGAAGTTGCACTCCCCCAAACGACAAAATGACACGAGCTCCAACCGCCCCCTACCCCTCCCCCCGCTCGCCTCATCCGCCCTGCCCCGCGTCCACGAGAACCACGAGCGACAACCGACGATGAGGATAAGATCTGCGTGTTTTCCCTCCCTCCATTCAGTCAGGCGCCCGCCCTCGGTCGCTGCACGCGCCTGAGACCCTCCAGGTAAGAAGGTGTAAGGAAGTTAAGGTTTTCCGATGGTCGATGTTCGAAGCTAGGGAATTTCCGGTCGTTGGGCGCGAAGACGAATTAGTAGCTTCATGATGTTTTTAATTTTTTCATCGGAATAAAAACTGACTTTGTTATGATCGAGGATCAAGTACATGTGCCTCGTGGGCTTTAGGTCGGGATCAGGCCTCATTAGACGCTATAGTTGATTTTAACTGTACATATACATCTATAATGTATAATACATGTATATAACATGCAACGTACAATATAATATATATGTTATATGTATCTTATAAGATACGTATATTACATGTAGGGTAAAGCGGCGAAACCCGAACACTTTCGTCAGGGCCGAGTCGAACGCACGGAAAAATTCTCGTGATTTCGTCTTTCTACGCACCCTGTGCAATACAACTCTTTATTTTACCTCTATCTATGACGGATAAAACCATGAAAGGTTCTGGGAGACCATGCGGTTCCGTGATATCCCGCTTTCAAGTTCCCAAGTTCCCTCATTTAAAAAAATATTTCCTCAAAGGACTGCACGACCTTGAGGCCTAGCGAAACTTCCAAGTCCCTGTGACCTCTTTTGGAGTTTGTATGTTATCGGTCGATGACATTTCATTGCGTACAGTCGAATGAAGAAGATTTGTTCTCATGTCATTTACATTTCTTCGTCAAGACTGAAAAGGCAAGTCAAGCAAGCCCTGTAATTCCCCCCCCCCCCTATTTCTTTCCCTTCGAAAACCATTCGAAAAAATGTTAGTGCTGCGTACAGATCATGCTAATCACTCAGTTCTGGAATATAAAATTTTTTTGCGTCCCGCTTGTGATATTTTAGGGGCGTTTCGTTCTTGCACCATCGCAAGCTGCAGAAGAATTAAAAAAAAGCGAAAAAACGATATATCACCCTATTCGGTGATCCCGAAGCCCGCCTCGCGATGCCATGCCGAATTTCCTCGCTTTACCCCAAGCCTCGAAGAGTGCCCGAAAGGACTCACCTCGGTGAATTCGGGAAGGGAATCGACGACACCAGGAGTCGACGTGCAACAACGCTCTGGGTGAAAAGTCACATAGCAAGCTACTCATTGGGGTGGGCGATCGCACTCGAAGGTATTGTGGGCGTGGACTCGGCGTAGACTCAATCGATGTTTCCACGGATATCATGCTTTATTCTGCATTCCCTCTCCACTGGGATCGATGTGCTGGGAGGAAATGCCAGACGGCGACGCGACTCGGATTCCCGGCACGCATCGTGGCAGGAAGTATTGCATTTTCACCCGTCGTTTCTTCGTATTCGATGAGAAAGTGATGAGGAAGCCGTATGATGCTCCGTATGCACCGTATGGTGCTATAGGCGCTGAATGAATACGGCGACAGGATTCGGTGCTGTACTGCCTCGATGTAGCGTCCTTGCTTGCCGTCGTTCATTGGGTTTCCCAGAAACACGATCGCTCTGTTTGAACATGACGATGGGAAGTAGAATGAGCTTCGTTCATAGGCGATCCAACCTGGAGACCCACCATCGCCCTCCCCCCTCCTCCCTCCCCGAAAGAAGCCAATTTGGAAATATGATTTTGACCACCTCGAAGTTCCATCAGNCCCACGTTCAGTCTCCGACCTCCCCCGCGAGAGACCGAACGGCCCCCCCCCCCCCCATCCTCGGGGATGTCACCCATTTGAGGCGAAGAGGGCGCGGCATGCGTCCACGCGGTCGCGAGACGCGAATCCCGGGACCGGCGTGATGCGTGTGGTGTGGCCCAATCCTAACACCAACGCATTTCCGTCATCTTCGGAAACTTGTAACGATCCTAAAGTTATTCCGGATTCTCTCTTAATTCGTTCGCTTCAACGTCGACAGTAAAAACGAATTTGAAATTGTTTATCGCGGCTAAGATCGAGTTGGAACCAGAACAGCCGGCACTCGCGAATGCCTCGAGAAGTCGCATTCGAGAAATTAATCTCACGCGTTCCGGATGATCGATGGTTCTCGTCTCGACGTTCGAGTCATCATTATCGTAATAACCGCGTCCAGATGTCACGTCTGGACCGTTTTCCCATTCCCGGTCTACGATTTAGCCGTCACGACTTTTAATGGCGCTCCCTCGCCTAGTCGTTTTCGATCCTTCCATTCGGCGACTTTCGAGCGAAGAGGGCGAAAGCTCGTAGGATTGCGAGAGCGCCGCGAATGCATGGAGAAGTCCATTCGACGTGAAACCGAGTTGAAGGCTGCGTCTCGATGTCTCTAGCAGTGAATGGGAGTCCAACGGTGATTTCACGAATTCGGATTTTCCCGTCACGATTCTATGCTTGCATGATGAGCAAAACGCGCAGTTCCTGATGGAACTTCGAGGTGGTCAAAATCATATTTCCAAATTGGCTTCTTTCGGGGAGGGAGGAGGGGGGGGGGCGGAGAAAATAGCTTCATAGTAGGACTGTACCGATGTATCAGCGAACACCGGTATCGGCCGTCGGTACCGGTGCCGGTGCCCAAAGGACGGGCAAAGCGAAAAAAAAATAAGGTGAGGGTGTCGACGCGGCCAGGCGCCGGCCCTCCTATGTGACTTCGGCCACTCCTGCCAGCCTCTCCCCGGCAAAAAATATCGATCGGATTATGTTACAGCCGTATTATAGGAACCGGCGGAGGGAAGTAGCGGTAAATAACGGGAATCGATGCATCTCTATTTACGTCATGCTTTTGTAAGGGATGTGTCAATGAATGCTCTCAAATTCAGCAACGGGTAGGAGAGTAACCACTGACAGCCTCATGGAGAGACAGACAGGCCGGACGGGACCGAAAGCGATCTCTATAGTTTCAAGGAGGCCTACCGATGAGTGTCACATGGCTTCCAATGAGGCTTATTTGAATTTATTGGCGATTTCTTCTAACGGCCACAATTGGCACCGGCACCGGTACCGGTCGATGGTTTTGAGGAAAACATCGGCCACCGGCCCACCGGCCAAATGTAGCCACCGGTACAGCCCTAGTTTATGGTCGTGTCGGACTCCTCTACCAAGGCAGTGAACGATCGTGTCGTGCGGTCCGCCGGTGCGCCGTGACGATCCAATTCCTCCTGGAATCGGGATGAATCTTCGACTCGCTAGAAACTTGTAAACGCCAAGTCCGAGAATTTGCTGCGAATGTTCCAGCATTCACGCACCACGGGCCCACGGCCACGCAAGGCGTGATCGAGGCTCGAGACGTCCCAGCATCGCTTCCCATCCACCAATGAGAAGCGAGCAAAAAACCGCGCCGAGGGAGGTGGAAGGGAGCGAACATCGGCGGCGTCTCTCACTCCTCGGGTCGGAGCGAGTGGACCCTCTCCTCCCCTCTCCCCGTTCCTCGTCTCGTCGCGGCGGGTGTCGATTTCCATGTCGATGCGTGACACCTGGACGGACTTCATTATGCATGAGGCGAAACGACCACGGATGCCCACCGTCGGCCCCTCCACTCCGAACTCTCCACCCTGCCCCAGCATTAGAAACGACTCGACGGTCGAACTCTCTTTGGCAATCGAGTATAAATCGACTAAAACTTTCGGAATTTCATCGCGTATGCCTCTTCAAGTCCTCGATCACTCGGAATATCACTTTCATCGAAAAGAGGTAAGTTTCCAAATGAGAAAGGGGAATTTCAGAGAGGCAGAGAGAAAGGAAGGAGTAAATTATATGATTGACTTTTTAAAATTCAAATTCACTTCTCCATTTCTTACCGGCTCTCCTCGCTTCAGTGCTTTCATCGCCGAACCCAATTTCCGACGCATCATTTCCATCAACTTCTTCGAGCGTCGTTTTTCGGTCACGAGTCAGCAGACCTTTGACCAATTCCTTTCGGGGATTTTTTCCCTTCACAGTGATTCTCCAGTTTTCCAGTTATTGTGGATCGTTAAAAATTTTTTTTTAAACAGTAATTACTGACTCTGGTAATTGCTATGAATTTACCGACCGAATAAGCTGGGACTGCAGATTTGGATTATTTTTTTTACTTTTCTTTCGGTGCGTGCAAGACTTGGTTCCACCGTCCACATACGGTTGTGGCCGAAATGATTGCAACAGCTCGGATTTTTTGGTTCGTTGACTTAGTACAGCTGTCGCAATGCATACATATTTTGCGTGCTAAAGTGAAATTTATATAAATAATAGATTTCATCTTGACTTGAAAAATATTTGTCTTGCGTCAGCTGTGCTATCAAAGCCAAGGAAATTCGAAAATCCAAGCCGATGTCATAATTTGAATCCCACTGCTGAAATCCTGAGCAGTGAAATTATTGTACAGTGCAGGAATTTCAGTTCTGTACTGTACAGTACTGTTCAGTACCGTGAAATCCTTCACACCCGATCTCTCCTCGGCTTCTTGCGTTCTTTAACGAAGGACTTGGGATCCTCTGCATTTTCAGACTCCTATCCTTAATTCTAGGGTCTTGAAGCATGGTGGTGCACACCAACTTGGTTTCCCTTCGTATTTCTCGCTAGAAGGAACTTGAGAGCAGGACGGAAGTGGCCCCACTTTGTCAGCACGGTTCATCTCGATTCATCGATTTTCTATTTATACGTAATCACTTTCCTTCGGGAAACGAAGTTCCATTGGCATCGATGGCTTAAACCACGTCGGACGGGACAAAAATTCGCTCTTCCTGAACTTCGTTGCCTGCACTCGAAACAACCCATCCTAAAGACGTGTCGTTCTTTCTGGCGACCTCGGAGGGAGTCACGTTGCATTTCGAATCGGTTGGAAGCGCTGGGCCTTCCATCTCTCCGCGTTGGAGGGTCCGTGGATGAGTATGTTTCCTTCAAGCTGCTCGTCGTGGGGGATTTGCTCTTAGCTGGGTCGGGGGGTGGGTTGCGTCTCTTTTCGGGTGCGGTCGTCCGAGACAGCCGGTGGCGGTCCTTCGCACCTTAGCGGCCTTTGTGGATTTTGTCGTGTGTCGGATGCGAGAATGGGACTTGGATGGGGGATTCCTGAAACCAGTAGTGGTCGTTTTTTAATATTTCTTTAAGCTTCGGTTTCGCCATTCATGCGGCCATTCCGGGACGTTATACGCATGATTAGCAGCCGTGGAATCGCGGAAGGGCGGGTCTCGCCCGGACTTATTGAATGAGAATCGTCTTCATTCGCATCGTGCCTCGCCATCACGCACGACTCATAACGTCATGAAATCATCGCACGTCCAAAGAACATCCGAGACGCGACGTCGAAGGACCCAGACATCGCATGTCTCGTCCACCGACGAGGCTTTTCATTCTGGCTCCTCGAACGAGTCGGAGCGATTACGCCGTACTCGATGTCCAGGCCCCATCGATCGAGCGACTCGGAGCAAAGCGGTTGGTGAAAGATAGCCAGCACAGATAACATAACCCCGGAGACATCGATCTGATCCCCTCACCACGACACCCAGAAAGCCTTCCTTCACCTTAGTAGCCCGACGCTGGTTCGAGTCGGTCCACGGCCGAGTGAAGTGAAAGCGAGAAGTGATCCCACCGATGTTTCCGCGCGAACAGCTCACCACCCCGACGAATTACGGAGAGGGTCAGTCCCTCCCCCACAGAGGGACCCCATCCCTCCCCCACAGAGGGACCCCATCCCTCCCCCCCAGAGGGACCCCATCCCCGGACCAGAGGCCAGGGCAGACGTGGATGGGGAACGGACGGGAATCGGACGACCCGAGAAGCAGAGTGTCCCTCGCCTTCGGCACGCGACAGCCGATTCCGGACGAGATCGGAAGGAGTCTGCTGCTGCTCCTCGAACGGCGCCCTCTCACGCTCTTCGAGTACGAGGATCTCATCGAGTTTCTCGTCGAACGGAAGAGACTCGTCTTCCCGACCGTCGCTCCGCCCGTCGAGGAGACGAGACGAGATGGAGGTATCGCGGTCGATGGGCCTTTCGGGCCTTTTTCCTTAACGGGTGAATGCCGGATGCGAGTCGGCGACGGATGACCGATCGCTTCGATGTCTTTCGTCGGAAGCTCACGGTGTGCTTCCGGGGAGCGTCGATTCGCTCGCCTTAAAAGAGGTAGGGTAAAATACCCAGTGATGGTCCCCGGTGATGGTCCCCGGTGGTGGTCCCCGGTGATGGGCCACGGCACATGAAAGTTCCAAGAGCTAAGCTTCCATGGCACGCCTACACTCTTAGCTTGTTACTCTGAAAATGGGGTAACAAAATCTTGTAATTTGTTACTCTTGAATAGAGGTAACCTACGGAGTAACAGTGGAAAATCTCAGATGAAAGGTTACAAACTTGGAATGAATTTTTTTTAATGCTCTAGTGTGTTCATGTAAAAGGAAATCAACCTGAACTCCATCAACATCTCCGGTGGCAAATTTCCCTTGAACTGGGTAATGACGTTGCTGTTACTCTTGATGTTACGATTCTCGGAAATGTTGATGAAGTTCAGGACGGAAGAAATTTATTTTAATAAAAATCCAGTACAAATTTAAAAATTTTCCGATCTAAGTTTGTAACATTTTAAGACTTATATGCAATTTTCCACTGTTACTCCGTAGGTTACTCCTATTCAAGAGTAACAAATTACCAGATTTTGTTACCCAATTTTCAGAGTGACATAGCTAAGAGACATAGACTAGCAGCATTGAAGCACAAACACACTTCAGAGGAGTTCATGCTACAAATGCCTAGTTATTGAACTTTTCCTGCAACGTGGCCCATCACCGAGTACCCGCCCTTAACTGGATGTTTTACCCTACGTAAGGTGCGGGAATCCGAAACGAGAGTACCGGTCCGATGCAAATGGAAGAGGACCTCGCCCAGATCCTGATGTGTGCCACCCGATGTGTGCCACCCGATTGTCGAGGCCAGGGCAGACGGGAAGAGTTTCCGCCCTGGCCTCTGGCGGAGCGAGATCGAAATACGTCAGAGGAGAGGGACCGGTCCAATTGGTTCCAACCAATGGGTTGGAGAAGTTGGTTAGAAGTTGATTCCAACCAATGGGTTCCAAATGGATGTCTCTAGTGCAAGAATTATTAGGAAGCATTAAATGCATTATGAACAGTTCGAACATTCGAAATTCTTCTGCTTCACATCGTTCAATTCAGATTAAAATTGGCCAGCATTGGCCAGCATTGGCCAGCAGTGTTTTCGGGCGCATCAAAACAACATCCGAGGAACGGATTCTGGGATCTTCAAGGGTTAAAGGTAGATCACGCGATTTTCCGTCTCATATCTCTTATCGTGAACGTGATCGAAGCGGATCTGTTATCGGGTCCTTATCACGCGATAACCGCGTAATAATAACCGATGCGATAATAACCACTCCAGCGTGTAATCAGGGTTCACTTTTTATTCTGGGTTTTCATTCCGCGCCCCCACCTGTTGACACCGATCGATAAGAGGGATCGTCGAAGGTGCTCCAGCCCTTTTCATCCCTTCCACGTGAACGGAGTCGGGACGAGAATCGAATCGCGAAAGAGCGAGCGTCTTCGCTCCGCGTTCAGGTTTACTTTTAAATCGGTTCGGCTGGCCGATTCGAACGAAGACGAGGTCGAAACTCGATTGGGAACTCTTAAAATCGCCGTTGGAGCGATTTCATTATTGTGAATTCAATGCGGTGAAATGTGCTGGTTTCGCGGTGTTCTTGCAGGTGGAGATCGGGCGACGACGACCCACTTCGACGGCGCCGTCTCGAAAGTCTCGGACGTCCTCGCCCGGAACGGACCCACGCCCGAGGACGCAGACGGCAGGTGGAGCCGGTCCTCGGGGACGTCGGGACGGCCCGAAGGCGGGAGGAGGAAGCAGACGCCGCAGAGCGGAGGCGATTGGTTCTCGTCGGGGAGTTCCGGGAGATCCTCCGCTTCTATTGTGTCCAGTCAGTCCATTCTTCCAGGCTTCCGTTCCTTCCAGGCTTCCGTTCCTTCCAGGCTTCCTTTCGCAGGCGAAAACCTCCCTCTTTCGGCTCTCGTTTGTCATCCAAGGTGTTGTGCGTGCTTCGTGCGTGGGATTGGTGTTATGAGGTCTCTCGAACTAAGGTCGCTTGCAACCGTGGAAGCTCCTAGCTTCCGAGGCTTTTTGAATTTATTATTATTATTTTTTTAAATACCAGGTATGGGAAGGCACGGTAAGATGAGGTTATTAGTACAGGATCGTCGATCCATCGCGGGCACAAAAGTTATGTTTATATGCAGGGCCGCCCAGAGGCTTCCAGGGGCCCGGGGCAAAAATAAACCGGAAGCCTCTTGGGGGCCCCCTTGAGGCCCTTTGGAGGCCCCCCCTTGGGACCCCTTGATACGTGAGCCCGGGGCAGATTGCTCCAATTGCCCCCCCCCCCCCTTCTGGGCGGCCAGAATTATATGTACTCGATGTTCAATCGTGGAGCAGCGCGGAAGCCTTTTGCACGCAGTTTGTTCAGTCTTGACGTTGACAGCCTTTAAGTCTGTCCTTATCTGTATCTCATCGGCTCGAGCTTTTGTTAATGCGAAGTTCGCACGTCTTTGTCCAAGGATCGAGGCTCCATCGGCCGATGTCGGCCACGAGTCGAAACGAGGAGGAGATGATCGCCAAGACCAGACAGAAGTTGCCGAAGGTGACGGACCCGGTGGAGAAACTGCGGCTGCTGTGCCTCCAACGAGGCTCGTCCGGCATCCTTGCCTTCGGCAAGTCAGTCCATTCCCTTTCGATTCCCTCTCGCGGCCGTCCGACGGGCTCGAACGCCTCTTCGTCCCGCTTCGAATAGGGTGTTTCGGCGGATGGACGACGACGGGAGTAGATCCCTGAGTTTCGAGGAATTCTGTCAGGGGCTCGGCGACACGGGACTCCATCTGACGTACGAGGAAGCCCAAGACGTTTTCCGCCAATTCGACAGGGAAGGCTCGGGATGCATCAGCTTCGACGAATTCCTCATCAGCGTCCGCGTACGCCTCCCACCTCCCCAATCCGCCCCCCTTCTGCCCCCCATTCCTCCCCCCCTTCAGCCCCCATCCCTCCCCCCCTTCAGCCCCCCATTCCACTCCACATGTTGAAGACAAGATGTCTGCTCTCGATCCGCAGCCGCCCATGAACGCCAGCCGGAGGAAACTGGTGGCGATGGCCTTCCACAAGATGGACGCGACCGGTGACGGGGTCATCGCTCTCGAGGATCTCCGACGGACGTACAACGTGAGGAGCGATCCGAAGTACATCAGCGGCGAGGACACTGCAGACGTGGTCCTTCACAAGATCATTACCAAGTTCGAAAAAAACGGCTCTGTCGATGGCAAGGTGCGTCCCAAAACCCGAAAGAAATATGTCAAAATTAGTATTACTGTAGTTTCAGGGAAAATCTGCATCGTCCTCGCTGCTCGTTGCAGGTGACGAGAGACGAGTTCTTCGACTACTACAGTGGAGTGAGTGCCTCGATCGACAACGATGCCTATTTCGACCTCATGATGAGGACTGCCTACAAATTGTAGTTCTTGCACCGAATGGAATGCTTTTATATCCTCGTGACAAAAAAATCTGCAAACCTCCACCACACTTTGTTGTCAAATTTCCATACTGTTCTCTGCGTGATATTGATGAAAGTACAATATAACAATTATTATCCTTGCATCGATTTCCTTTCTGTCTACACCAAGCACAGCATGTTCTGCCAAGACTTCTTGAAGACGTGTCAATACGTGATTGATGGTTAGAGACATTCGGGTTAGAGACGATGGCGCAGGAATTTCTCTTCCAAATAATCGTCTTGCTGCGATCCGAAATCTAAATCGGTCCCATCTCTGGGCTGCTCATGTATCCGACGTGACCGTGCAGATTTGAAGGGAAAGCGACGCTGGGCAAACCCAGTGGAGAGCCTTCTGTTCCTATTCTAAAGGATGGGAACAGGAAGAAGAGGAACGACGAGAGAGGATCTGGTTTGCATTTCATGAAGTTGAGGGGCGATCCTTTTACTGCCAAGTGCAATCGCGCACTCCATTCATCAGCACCAGATCTGTCTGCTATGAAAACTGGACAATGTGGAACTCTTCTCGAGGGCTTTTCGTCTTTCTTAAATGTCAATAGAGGAACCAACGTCAACGGGGGAGGTAGCTTCATGGAGTTCATGACTTAATGGCGTTCACGATCTGCTAAGATCTCGACATCGTCAGAGTGGGATGAATTTGACTGGAATTTCGGTGATTTCGGTGGGTTGGCGAAAGGATCAAGAACTAGTTCATGAGCGGCATAAGCGCTGGTTCGTAGAGGGGAGCAGATCTTGAACGATTTGGGCGCTATTCTAAAAAAAAAAAAAAAACCCAACCCGCAAATTCATATCCTGGACTTCTCGACTGAAAAAATTCGGTCTTGTTCAGGCCTCCCTTTCTAATTTCGGAACTCATGGGAATTCTCAACGTCAGGCATGGAAGACGGACGAGGGGTGGATGCCTGCACATGGCGAGGGATGTTAGGAAAAGTGCCCACATTTCCCCACGATGATGGATGACTGGCATGCACCTCTCTCACGATCACTCCTTATTCGTAAACACCAGGCAAAGTAAACGAAGAATATATCAGCCCAGGTAAATATCTACCCTTCCACGGGCTGCTATACCACAGGGTTTTCTCTCTTCGTTGCATTACTTTTTTTTTGGAAAATAAAATTTGCCTTCCGTACGTCGTAGGTATGCGGTGCATAGTCCTGGAAGACTGGAGAAGTTCCTCCATAGTCCGTGAGTCCGCGTCGCGTGGAGAGGGAAAAGCAAAACAAGAATGCCAGATCCGACAGTACTTCCGGGAGTACGTGCAGCGAGTCCCGGACGGAATCTCGAAACCCAGAATCTCGAAAATCGTCGATCTCGAAAGACGGAATCTCGAATGGACATGGAAGCAGCCCTGTTTACGCCGCCACGAGCAGTCGCTCACTCTTTTTCTGCTATCGATCCGTCATCCACGAGGGCGGGAAGGGAACTAGAAGGTTTCGGTTTTGACCAAGGTTGTAGGCTGCACATGCGGATTGCGTCGAGTTGTCCGGAAGCTCTCGAAACTGCGGTCAGACGGAATGGCAAAGGAAAAAAAAAAGTGACAGATCGATCGCAATATCGATCATTTTTCCTTAGTACCTAAAGGAATAGTAGATAATACATTTCTCGTAGGCCACTTAACCAGACTTCTCCCGGTAAATTCATTTTTTTCATCGGTGAAAAATTATGAAATTTGATCCATGATCGGAGGGGCCTTCCTCCAACAGACTTCTAATAGTCCAAATCGATCATGGCCAAGCATTCTTCTTCACTGAATTTCCGTGGCTTTCCCCTCTAAGTCCATGATAAAACATAAACTCTTAGAAAAGAGTGAGCGATTTCCGAGAAAGGGAACGAAGCTGGAGTTAGCGATTTTACTCCCTAAGAACAAGGAAGTAATGCCGCTAAACTCTCCCTTTCCTGAGAATAGCCACTAACTTTTCTCTACTTGTTTGAAAAGTACTCTCACTCTCTCACGCTCTCAAAAAAGGTATGGAATCTGCTCATACAAAGGAGTACTTCCTTTGTACATCGATTGTACTTCCTCGTTTTCAGGGAGTAAAATAACAGACTCTAGGACTCTTCTCTAAGAGAGTATTGCATCCGGTACTTGTGACAAGTATTAACTCGTGGAGTGGTTATCACGACGTTAAAGATTTGTCATAGCTGATTTACCATAGCATCGGAGATAAAGTACTTTAGCCTGTAATATCACTTAAATGTGGTGCATATTTTCCTCGTAAGCACATCTGGCACGAGCCATCAAGGTTTCATGAAAGTGAAATGTTGGCAACAAGTGAAAACATATTATAGCTCNTGAAGTGCGAATGAGAGGATGACATTTTCCCCAGTTAGACCCCCCTTAGAGACGCCGACACTCGAATCTTTTCCATTCTCTCTTCTTCAGGAGAGGTTGGCAGTCGAGTGACAAGAGGGCTCGGCCAATCTAGACATTATCATTTTCGGGAAGAGATTCAAGTCGATGATACTACGATTCTTTTACATCCGTGTTTAACACCGTTTGACGCCCGTAACGTAGTGTGGGAGTCGCAAGAACATGACGTCAATGCGTCGCGGGGTCTCTCTTCATTTTCAAGTGGATCTTTCTCCGTACCATTCGATAAATATTACAGTAAAAAATCTAAATTTTTAATATTTTAAAATATATCCTAAATGTTTAAACATACATGTATGATGTATTTATATTAGATATCTCCCAAGTTGTGTTTTGATTTTTTTCTTAATTTTTAAAACGCAAAAGTCTCTGCAAATTCGAAAATAGACCTCTAAACTAACCCAAACTATCTAAGGTAGAAGAGACCGTCATTCTACGTAAATCGCGTTCCCCGCAATGATCGCCCAACAAATAAAATTTCATGCGCAGAAAATGACCTCTAAGATGGCTCCCCTTCTTTCTGTTCCCACCATCGAACAGGGAAAGCCAAGAAATTTCCACCTAAACGCCGTTGATACGAAGATATCCACGTGAATCAGTTCAGGCATCATGGAATTAGGTCCCGAGCGTCTGCTTATATTTGAGTAGGTTTTTTCCATTGTAGCTTCAGTAGCTTCCTTTTCTGCTCTCTAAGAAGGGTAAAGGAGACAGAGTTTGCAACTGCGCCAATCGCATGATTTAAGTGATTTTAAGCAATTTAATTATGATTGCTTGTCTCAACATTTGGGTGCCGCGATGAACCCTCAAGTGGTATGGTAGTGCTTAAAGCGCTGCCACACCACTTGACACACAGAAACTCCTTCAAATTTTCAAGAGGTCTTGCTTATCAAATGGAGTAGATTGTACGAGGTATGACAATGCTAACAAGAGATAGACATCCTCGTATCTCTCTAATGACGAAAAGCTGACTGCAGATGACGTGAGTAAGAGGCAATCTTTATGCTGTGTTGAAAGGGCAATCCGAGGGAACTAGGGTTATTCCTGCCGCGTGCTGGAATGCTGATGACATACTTTGAGAATACGAGGAATCACATCATCGTGAGGTCCAATGATTAATTATGGAGAATACTGCCACGTGCTGAATGTTATACAATAACGGTAAATTCCGAGAAAGTAGGGCTCTATGGAGTAAGGGTCTACCATGACCATGACCATGACCATGACCATGACCATGACCATTAATGGTTGACATATATGCTGTGCACGTAAGTGCTCTATATTTTTTTCACCTCCGTGAGATGGATTGATGGGTACAACTATTGAAGAAAAAAATCAGAGCGAACAAGGGACCGGTAAAAATGCAATAAAATGAAAGAAATAATATAAACTTATGTGCACTTAGAAAATGCCTGCCTCCACCATAAATAAATTCTTCCACAAGCTGGAGGGAGGGGTTCCTCTTCGTGGACTCCACCGCCTACAAATAGGCAAAACCTTGAATCGATGATCCAATTTGTGGACACCCGTCTTTCCTTGATTTAAAGTTTTTTTTTTGTTTAAATCCATAAATAGAATGAAATATGAATTATGAACTCCTTATTAAGCTCAGGACGAGGTAGAGGGAAAAATGGTCACAGGGTGTTGGTGAAGGTCCTCGCGGGGTGGAAGTGCTGCACCTGCCTCCGATGGAGTCGAATGGATGCGAGGATGCAGCGTGGAACGACAATTTTGGGCAGGCTGTAATGGACATGAAGTGATTCGAGAAATGGAAAGGCAAACTAAGAATCGAGATTTGATGTGCAAATATTGTGGCTGGGTTGAGAACATAATAATTTGGAGAAAAGAAGAAAATTTTGAACCGATTTACATTCACGTATCTGGACCGTTTCCCTGCAAACCATAATTCTAATTTGAAATGGAAAGTTGTGATAGCTATTGGTTGCTCATTGTCTACTGAAGCCGCAAAATTTGATCGTTGGAATATATATTCTCCACAAAGACTCCACCGACTTCACTCGACCTTCACCGCGACCAGCTTTCACGCTGCTTCGCCTCGAGCTTTCTCGGATGTTCCTAGCCTCGCCACCAGAGGAGCCAACAGCACACCACGAAATCGGTGCCTCTCCGGGAAGTGAACACATTCCTGCGGTTCCAACGAGTGCTGGTTGTTCTGCAGGATGGTGCTTTGAAGGAGACTCGAAATGCCTGTAATTCTTATTTTTAATCCTTAGATTTTTTAGTCTTAAATTCAACATGATAACCGACATTTTATCAACTATTACTTTTGTACCTTATTATCTATTTTATTTTCGGCTCCGCTCGGTGAGAATCTACATCGAGGACCACAAATGCGACACTCGAGGATTACCTCGAAACGGGATACCCAAGTGGCTGGTAGCAAACTTGGATGCTCTGTCACTTGCAATCATCATCGGTGCCGATAAAGTGCTCGAAATCCCTCTCTTCTTCTCCGACCAGTGAAATAAAAAATTCGAGATGCATTCCGATGTTCTTTCTATCCGCGTGTCGCATTTCTATTTCGACATCATGACGGCGGAGCGTGTGATAGAAAGGATAAGGCGGCAGGTTTTTCGAGAGCGATAATATGTTTTCACTTGTTGTCAACATTTCACTTTCATGACACCTT